GGTTAATTCTAAATCGAGTAAAGGATCATAGTAATATTTAAACCACAAAACTAGGGAATAGTCATCTTCTCAAGACATCAGTGGGATCCTCAAGATGCAGCACACAGCTCCTGAAATAGCTTTACCTATCTGTCCTAAATGGTGAGGCTGACGGTCAATCCACAGTCAGCTCCTTACTACCCTGTATTACAGCAACTACCCATACATAAATTATGTCTGTCTCTAGATTATTTTAAGTTGCTTGAGAGCAGGAACCATATCTTATGAAAAAATTTAACAATAAAACCTCTGATTTCCCACAGCACCTACCGTGGTGTTTTGTACAATGAGGCATTCAAAAGATATTCATATGATAAAACTAAAAATGCACTATTGTAATGTTTCCATGAGAACCTGGACCGGGAAAACGAAATTCACTGTCTGAAATTACTTCTGGCAGTCTTAAATGGAGAATTACATCATGCTATGAGGCTTACTGAAATTTAATAGCGAATATCATGTCTTACGTCAACTCTTCTAAAGTCTCAAAATCAGTCAATATATTTGACTTTAGGAACAACAGAATCAGTCTTGGATCCAATGTAAAGTTTAAGCAGCGAATAAAAAGGATTTAAGCTTAAAAGAAGCTCTACCTATAGCAGAATATTTAGGTTAGAAGGACACCTCACTTGCCTCACCCTATTCAGGAATTTTCATTACCAGGCTCAGGGCTTTTGGAGCGGCTGCCAGGACTACTGAGTACACATAAAACTTCCAGTCATCTAAAGTCTTTTGAAATTTAATTTTTTAAAAAAATGTGTAATTATTATACCATAAAATTGCCTCTTTCTTTTGATTTGCAGTTCTATGAATTAACCGCAACTGGGATACAGAACAGACTTTTAAGACTGAATTTCAACGTTAAAAAACCACCTGTAAGAATTCGCATTTATGCCTTCTTGGGTTTATTCTGTGTCAATCACTGGGCATACCAGAATCTGGAGCGGGGCAGGCTCTATATCTTAACGCTGTGCTTCCCAACCTCGGACCACAGACTTCTGCTGTACGTGTGCAGAGGGGTGACACACTGCTGCAAGAGTCACAATATGTCATAGGCCAACCTCAGTCACTTTTAAAACAAGCAGTTTCCTCCATATACAATCCACTATTTTTTAACATGCTACTGGTGATAAATGTATTTCCAATAGTCCTCAAATCCACAGTAATTAGCTGTTTCCTTAGCTAACACACAGGTTAATTAGAAGGGTCCCCAAATGACGTAATAAAAGAGCAGCAGAATGGAAGTGACTAACTTCTCTAGTTGAACAAGCCAAAACAAAGCTTCGGCTTTGTACTGTCCTTTTGTTCTGTGCTTCATGCTTTCAATAAGATGTGAAGCTCCCTAAGGGGCAAACTCTTTCTTTTACTCTTTTGGAATCCTGCTCCCCATTCCCCATATAGCTGGGAGCATCCCAGGATACCCTGCAGTGACCTAAGCCCGCTCCTTCCCTCCCTGGAGACCACAGCCTCAGGCCTAGAGGAAACCCGCAGTGAGCTAATTCCTTTAACACCGAAAGCACATGCAGCAGGTACTCAGCTGTAATTTTTTTTCTTCTCTAATGTTTATTTTTGTCTTCCTGGTAACTCCACATATTCAGAAAGAATGCCTACTCAAAAACAAAACAAACAAAACCCACTCCGTTTTAAAGCTGGGAAGCTCAATGGGTCAGTAGAAGAGCTTCCAAGTCGGTCAGACCCAAGTCCGAGCAGAATCTCGTCTTCCTCATTTAGCTGTGCTATCTCAGGCAAATCACTTCACCTTTCGAGGATTCTGTGACTGTAAAACGTGGCCAGCAGTAACTTCCTCATAATTCCCAATCATGAGGATTAAATGAGTGACTGGACGTAACTACTTAGCATAGTGGCGGGTGCCTACCAAGTACCTAAAAGGCAGAGATATTTCTACTTTACTTTTATGCCACTCCCACATACAAAGAATTTCTTCTGCTCATGTGGTACTAGTTTGCACATCGAAGCTGGAAATAGTTTGAGGATTAACATATTCCTAGTTCCTTATGCCTACAGATAAGGAAAGCAGATGCGAGGAGGGCAAGCAACTCGCCAAACCCCCCCAGGCCCAGGGCCCTTACACAGCTGAGATGAAAATCCCGGTCAGATTCCTAGGCCGTACAATTTCCCATTTAACACCCAGATGGCTCAGTAAGGGAACTGGAAGCATCTTCTGCAACCCCAGAGGCCAACAGGGCAAGCATTATTTACAGCAGGGGCGTGAGCGCCAAGAAAAGCCATTGGCACATAGCAGACATGCTAGAAACATTTGTTAAATGAACCAGAGCCGGCTCACCCCCTATCTAAGCGAGAGCCACAGTGCATCTTCCTCTCCTGGAGGAGGTAGCAGGTAGGGAAAAAAGTCTAATAAGTATTAGTATCGCTTGCACTGTAGCTTTGAGTTAAACGAAGGCACTGAATCCACAAACCAGTTTCTTTTAGAGAGAAGGGGAAAGAGATCCTCCAATGGGATGCAATTCCCACGTTTCTCGTCCCTCTCCCCGATAAGGATGCTCCCACACCAAGACCTCCAACCCTCGACCTGCCCTTCCCAGACTAGACTCCAAGGTCTCCTCCACCTTTCTATCCTCTCCACATCCAGGCCCCTTGTACCCGCTCAACGCCCGACCTCAACGTCCAGCGCCGAACGTCCGGCCCCCAACGACCGAAGCTCCGTAGCCCTCATGCCGTCCCTTTCCCCACCATGCACGTGGGAACCCTGACCTGGAAAAAGGCAAAAGGGTCGCTCACCCTAACCCACCTCTGAAGCCTAGCCGTGGCGGCGATGGCCAGTACCCAGGAGCCCCGCCGTCCAGATACGCTCTCGGTGCTCACCTCACCTCCGCTGCCCAGCGGGCCCTCCCGCGCCAGCGCGACGCCTGCGCACTGCACGCCCACGTGCGCCCCGCAGCGCCCACGCGCGCGCTCGCGGGAGGGGCAGCTGCGCTCTGGCCGCGGAGGCGCGGTTTTGTGCTCCAGCGGGGGTGCAAAGGCCACGGGCTTAGACAGTTCCTCTGCGGAAACTTAATGTAGCTGTTCTAGCTTCTTCTACAAAGGTGTCCCTGGGAGCTCTGAGGGGAAATTTTGAGTGTAAAGACACAGATCTTGTCCCTGCAAAGGTCGCCTGGGTCACATTAACCCCTTAAAGTCTTACAAAGTTTTTCAAATTAATCCATTGACTGCCTGGTCTTGGAAATTAAACACCTGACTTTTTTTTCTTGACTGAGAGCATGTGATGATATGTTGGTGTTGCTCAAAGAAAATATTTAAAACATTTTTTTAAACTATGTCCCTTTCAAACAAATTAAGAAGTGGTACCCCCAGGTACCTCGTCACCCAGGTTCAACATTATCAATTTAGTCATTCTTGACTGATCTGTACCTCACACACTCTCCTCCCATTGTTTTGAAGCAAATTCCGACTTGTATCTTTTTAACGCATTTTATTTTTTTTGAACAGTTTTAGATTTGCAGAATAAATTGAGAAGATGATACACAGAATTTCCATGTAAGCCACACCCAGTTTCTCCTGTTATTAAGGTTACGTTAGTAGGATACATTTGTTACAATTAAGGAACAAATATTGATATTATTGCGAAAGTCCATAGTTTACTTAGATTTCTTCAGTTTTTACCCATTGGTCTTTTTTTGAACCAGGATCCCATTCAAGATACCACATTACGTTTAGTTGTTATGTCTCCTTAAGCTCTTCTTGGCTGTGGCAGTTTTTCAGACTTTCCTTGTTTTGATGACCTTAGCTTCCAGGAGTACTGGCCAGGCGTTTCGTAGAAAAGCACACTGTTGGAATTTGTCTGATGTTTTTCTCATAATAAGACTGGAGTTACTGGAAGGAAGGCTACAGAGGTAAAGCGCCGTTTGTATTGCATCGTCAAGTGTATGTCCTATGAACATGATTTATGACAGTTGATGTTTTCCACCATCACCTGTCTAGTGTTTGTCAAGTTTCTCTACTATAAAGTTACTCTTTTTTTCCCCTCCCTTTCCCATGCTATACACTTTGGAAGGAAATCATTATATGCAGTCTATACCTAAGGAAAGGGAGTCACAGTTCCTGTCCTTAAGGGCAGAGTACCTACAGAAATTAATTGAAATTCTTTTGCGTGGGAGATTTGTCTCTTCTCCATTTATTAATATATTCATTCATCTCTCTATATGTATCAGTATGGACTCATGGATGTTTATTTTATACTTTGGGTTATAATCCAACACTATTTCCTTGCTCACATTGTTCCAACTTTGGCCATTGGGAGCTCTTTTGCCTCTTGTTCTCCTTTGACATACTCCTATCAATGTGAGGTGTTGTTATTTATTTATTTAGGGCACTTTCTTACTTTCTGGGTCATTGTATCTTTTCAATCATACATATTTAAGTATGTTTCTTTAAAAGATTATGACTTTTAAAAAATATCACCAAAACTTATCCCACCTTTAATAATTTCTTAATATTATAAAATTAGTATTTAAAAATTCCAGAGTCTCAAATGATTTTTAATAATTGGTATGTTCAAGTCAAGTTTTTCATTAAAAATAAAGTCTGTCCACTGAAAAGGCCTAGAACAATAATCAATCCAGTGCACACCCCTATTCTGCAGACTATCATCTCTAAATGTAATTTCCCACTAAAAGTCACCTGGACTCCTCTTGGAGATTAAGGGCTGATTCTAAGTGTAAATGCACCATGACTTCATACTGATATTTCTAAATTCAAATTTAAAATTGCAGAGTTTTTACTTAATTTCTTTGATTTTATATTTGTATTTCCTCTCCCCAGTACTGAAAATCTTGGTTCCCAAAGATGTGATTACTTGTATGCTTTATACTAATGTATCTTTCAGAAACAACAATATGAATATTATTACTGACAATATGAGTACTGAAAAAAGTTTATAGTTTCTTTGATTATTTTCCCCTTGGAATAATATATCTCACTAGGAATGTTTGGCTGATTTATTGGTTTGAACTCAAGTCATTTCTTTACTGACACTTTAATTGCAAAATATGTTTTAATGCAGTATCTTCATTTAAGGAAGGAGGTGCCATTTCCTGTTGAAAAGGAAAGAGGAACAGAGTTACACAATGATTTTTTTTTCTTTTCTTTTTGCCAGCAGTTAGTATCAAAGAAGTTTAACAGAACGGTAGCAAGTTTTCTTTTATGAACTCTTGCATTGATGACTTGTCAGAATCAAATATTTTCATTCATGAGTTGTGCATAAGAAGCCCTAAACCAAAGAACATCTCTTCACCGGACAGAGTAGGTTTGCAAAACCTCCACAGACTGAAACTGCTCACCTTACCTCTCTGGACTGGATTAGGCAACCGTATTCAGTACGCTCCCTCCGAGCTACCCCCGACCCCCATACACTTTTTGTTGCTTATTATTCAGAGCTCCTACATGTCAAACCCCACGCTGCGCGCTGGGTACCCAGCCAGAGAGGCCACTTCCCGCGCTCCAGGCGCTCACAGTCTCGTGCCAGAGACCAACGCACCAACGCTTTATTACTAAACAATGGCAGTAGGTGCCACGCTGTGGACACGAACGTGGTGCCATGGAAACCCTGGAGTCCCTCCCAGGGATAAATTATCAGACGGACAGGTGGGCTGCTGCTGCTGACTCTGCCCACGTCAGGTGCACAGTATGAGTTTTAGAGCTAAGTCACAATTTCTAATTCTCTTTGATTGCTTTAAGCCCATGACTCATATGAAGAAGGGCCAGAGTGTGAGGAGGGAGTATATGCAATGAGCGCATCCAACGGAAAGAAAGAACCCGCTTGGGTCGGGGAGGGGCGTGGGAGGCAGGACAGCACTACCAGCGGGCGAGCCGGCCCGCCGGGTCCGCCAGGGCGTGGGTGCCAGCCAGTCTGAGCGCGCGGCGGGGAGCGCCCGGGCAGGAGGCGGGGCTGCGCCGGCCCCGCCCACTGCAGACAGGTTACTCGGGCTCCAAGGTGCGCCGCGTCACACCATCCTCGCCGCACTGATTGGCTGCTCCAGGGAGCCCCGCCCCTTCAGCTGTAGCTGGGCCGGCTTCAGCGTTGCCGCCATCTTTGTTGATGTGTCAGCTCCGCGGGGGTTTGGGGAAGCCGCGACCCAGGGAGCGCGGGGTCGGCCCTGTTCCCCACCGCTGCCTCCCCTCACGCCCCCTGATCTGCTGCACCCCGCTATGGAGAAGTTATCCCCTGAGCCGGAGCTTCAGCGGCCTCGTTAGGGGTGCGGCCCGAGGCTCGGAGAAGTGGGGTGAGTGCCCGAGGGGCGCCCGGGGCGGACCAGGGAGTCGCGGTGGCTGCGCGGCGGGGCTCCCCACGTCGCGAGCCGTCGTGCAGGTCCCGCGGCGGCTCCCCCCCAGCCTCTCCTGGGGGCGATGCGCGGAGGGAGCGCGCGGGGACGGAGTCCCTCCCTCGCCCTGCCTCCCTCCATCGGACGCGGGCCGCCAGGGGACTAGGCGGCTGAGAAGGGTCGGCGGGGGTCGTGGGGGCCGCGCCCCCTGAGCAGTGCCTAGAAAACGGCTGACTTTGGGCCGGTTGCGTGGTCTCCCAGAGCGAACTGCTGCTAAGCCCCACCTGCTCGGCGATCTTTCATAGACTCGATCGTCTGTTTCTCTTTTCGTCTCTAAGTTGACTGTGTGTGTGTTTTATGTTTACTGTTGGTAGCTACTTTTTACCCTCTTCCAAACACTTCCATTACTGTGATTTTAAGTAACTTAGAGACGATTCTTTGGGATCGTGGATATCTGAGATACTGTTCTTGGTTTTTATGTTGCCTTTTCTCCAAGGACATCAAGGCATTTGATAAACCTTGGCTGGTAAGATTGGTATTTCAATTTTTTGTCTCTATCAAATATGTAAAATGGTAAAGCCCCTTCTACCTGTCCCCGGTAGCAATCCTGGGGAACAGTGCAGGTGTAATTATTGGTCAGCTGTTAACAGTTTAATAACTTGCGCTAATATTCGCATCTTGATTTTCTTTAGAGGAAAGAGGCCTGGATTTGGAGTCGGAACATCTGGATTAGAATCTGCCTCTTTCACTTGGTGGTGATAGAAATTAGATAGGGGAGTGAGAAATTAGATAGGGGAGTGAAAGTACGCCGTGCAGTCCCGGGAGGTTGGCAGTTTTCTCTGCGTGTGTGCCTTGTTGCCCAGCTTTTTTATTTCTTCCAAAATGATAAGCCAAGAGTTTTTCTAAGGAAAATGTGCAGTAAAATAGTAGAACAGTGTTTCAAGAGGTGTGCTGGTAGTCATTCAAAAAAAAAGATATTAAGTGTTTAGGTATGCTCGGTGTGGGTGTAGCCTTCCCATCTATTCACTGCAGGTTCCTATTTGCGGTGTTGATCTTGCGGGAAAGATTAAGTTTCAAGAGACATTGATAGTGAAACTGAACTGTCTGCGTGTGTATAAGATTTACTGTTCTCTGTACAGGTATTTTTCACTTCTTTATCATTACACAAATTGAAAACAGTGATGATTGGCCAAGTTCTTTTTTTTTTCCTTCCTTTTTGGTCTTTTCATGTTGTTTTAAATTCAGTGAAGGTTATTGAGTAATTCACAAACCTTACAGTATAAAGAATTAAAACTCCTTTTTACACTGTAATAGGCAACCTGGAAATGCCTGGCTTGTGTTTATATTGGTTTTATTCCCTGGAAATGCATGGATTGTGTTTATATTGGTTTTGTTCTTTTTAAGACTTTGTCCAGTTCAGAATACCTGCATATAACCTTAGAGGTTTCTTTAAACACTGGAGATCCCATAGAGTGTCATCAGTATTTCAGATGTCATCAGTATTATTTATTGCTCACACAAAGGAGTGGTGTAGCACAGTAACCGCTCTTTAAATCTTTTAGTTCCTTCATCCATAGCTCCAGTTGTCCTTTGATGCTATACAATGGCAGCATAGCTGTTGATGATTGCTTAGTATTTTCAGTTTAAAAACATCTGTTTATAGCTACATGCTGACGTCATTAGAGTGAAGGTAAAACAGTACTCACTCTTTAGGGAGAGATGATAGGTCGAAGCAGCATTATTTAGAGATTTAGAAAAATCGTCTTTCCCTTTGAAGAGCAACTAGTAATCTGCATTAGTTTTACAAATTCATCTAACAGTTTCATGTTAAAGTAAGAATCCTTAACCTGAAGTTCTGGGTTTTTTTCTTTCAATAAAACTTATGCTTTTCTTTTATCCCTTACCTCTAACTTTAAATAACTAAAGCTGATCCTGAATTTCTCATAAACATGTCACCGGGCTTACACTATTGCTAGTGTTATATTTAGTATTCAATTCAGGGCAACAGTGGGAGCATAGATAATTTCAGTTTACAAATAACCCTCTAATCTTATCATATTCTTTCAAACTTCTCCTTTGAACTTTATTTCTCAGCTACTGAGATTTAAAAAATCTAATTGGGCTAAGAAGTAAACAGAAGGAAAAATATTGGGAGTGAAGGGGCAATTGACACAAAATGGAAATCAAACCCAGCGAAGGAAAGTATTGGTTGGAGTGTGAGTATATTTGTCTGTCGTTAAGACACAGGAACTGCTGGTCTGCTGTAGGGATGATTATATAGTAAGTGCTAAGGAATAATTTAATTTTTTTGTAAACTGCATCATACCACATTAACCAAGCCCAGGCCAAAGGTAGTTTCAAGATTTAAACATTAACCAGAACTCCTTAATATAAGGCAGACGTGCAACTTATCTTTAAATTTTTTTTTTTTTTTTGCAGTCGTTAGCCTTTTTGAAAAGGGAGCTATAGGTCAATTTTTTTCCCTTCTTTTAAAGCTTTTATTTTTTTTTTCCTTTTTTCTCCCAAAGCCCTCCGGTACATAGTTGTGTATTTTTTAGTTGTGGGTCCTTCTAGTTGTGGCATGTGGGATGCCGCCCCAGCATGGCCAGGTGAATGGCGCCGTGTCCTTGCCCAGGATTTGAACTGGCGAAACCCTGGGCCGCCGAAGCAGAGCGTGCAAACCTAACCACTCGGCCACAGGGCCAGCCCCTTTTCCTTCTTTTAGTTTTTAGATTTGGGAAAAAAAATAGCTGACAATACTTTTCACGTTTTCTTAGACTCATTAAAATTCAAATAGTGAGCTTTATACAAGTAGCTTCAAAATAAGATTTCTATATTAATAACTTTCTGCTTTAAAACTTAGTATTAGACATATGTAAAACTGCACGGATCTAAGATACCAAACTGATAATGTGACATATAACTTGATAATGTGATATACGATGTGGCCACTTATCCTCTTTTGCCTGGAATCTTCATGGACCATAATTTCTCTTTCTCCTGTTATCCTGTCACAGGATTTGGTACTATTTTGCGGGGAGTCCCTCTGTGTCTGTTGCCTTGAGCCTGGTTTGTTGTTGTTGTTGTTGTTTTTGCAGGGGAAGATTTGCCCTAAGCTAACATCTGTTCTCCATCTTCCTCCTTTTTTCTTCCTTTTTGTCCCCCAAAGCCCCAGTTCATAGTTCTGTATAGTTGTAAGTCCTTCTGGTTCTTCTCTGTAAGCCACAGTGACAGATGAGGGTGTGGTTCTGTGCCCGAGAACCGAACCCAGGCTGCCGAATCAGAGCACGCGGAACTTGAAGCTAGGTCATCAGGGCTGGCTCCCTGAATCTGTCTTCTTAACATCTTTTTCTGTGATATAGTGCACACACTGTAAAATTCACCTGCTCTGAGTCTTGGGTGCAAAGATAAACCCTCACAGGGATAATTGACCTTGGCCTCATAGAACATACTTTTTAAACTGAGGGACTAAAGGCCTCTTTTAAAATTTAGTGATATGTTTCATGGAACGGAAACTCAATGTATGAAGTTAAATTTTACCCAAAAGCTTAAGTAGAATTTGACTACTTTACAAAATATTTCCTCCTTTTGGTAGGATGAATCTAGAGTTCTTTAAAATAGCCAGCTCAGTTTTTAATCTTTTAAAAGTAGAATTTGACTTGCACAGATTCACCTTACGTGAACTTCAGTGTCAGATATTTTTATCAGGTGAAACAAGGTTTTCATGTTTCTTACACAGTTCTTTTCTATTATTTTATTCTATATTTAGAAGCCTTATCCAGGAAAGTGTTAGTATTTTAAAGTTAGTATCTATCAAAAATCAGTCACTTGGGGGTTGTGATCAGATTGTGTTGAACTGTGGGTGCTTTTTGATTTATTGCTTCTGACTTTAATTGCCATATCAGAACCTTGTTAGAACTGGTCAGAAAGATAAGTTATTTTGTTTATGCTACTTTCAAAGTGTTTTTGGGGAATATATAAAAAACTTTTGAATGTGCTTATTTTTTCTTCAAAGGACAGTGAACCATTATATTAAAGAATAAGAGTGCTCTCATGGGCTCAACTTGCTTATCTTAATGGACGTTATTTGATAAGTATACAGCTGGTATTATTTGAGACTCAGATGGTACAGTTTGTAATTTAAAAATTTGTAGTTTGTTGTAAATAATATCTGTGCTGAACTGAGTCAGATTTTTCTGTTGGACTTAAAACACTTAGGCATATCTGATGGAACACTGACAGACCCTCGAATTAAAATGCTGTAAACAAAAGGAGTAAAAGATTTAACATCCAGCTTTTATATATTGGTCCACTACCCTGGAATGTAAACTCCATGAGGGATGTCTGTTTCATTCACTGCCCTGTTGCCAACACATGGAACTGTGTCTGCACTTAAGACTGGCTCGGGGGCGGCCCCATGGCCAAGTGGTTAAGTTCGCCGGCTGGGCTACAGCAGCCCAGGATTTCGCTGCTTCGGATCCTGGGTGCAGACATGGCACCGCTCATCGGGTCCCACATGCCATGACTAGAAGGACCCACAACTAAAAAATTTACAGCTATGTACTGGGGGCTTTGGGGTGAAGAATAAAAACAAAAAAGATTGGCAACAGTTGTTAGCTCAGGTGCCAATCTTTAAAAAAACAAAAAAAGACTGGCTCAGTACCTGTTTGGGGAACGAATTAATCTCTAGTTTGGAAATGTATTTCTGACTTGATACCTTTGTATGAGGCTTGTTTGTTTGCACACCTTTTACCAAGTATCTGTGGATTAGAATCATTTCTATTTGCAGTTTATTGAATAAGCTTAAGTTTGTTGTTGTTGTTTATACTGCTAATTACTGGGAAAACAAGAAATAGTACTGTTAAAGACAGTGTTTTCATTTATGTGGCTCATGTATGGAAATTATTTTCTTGAAATGTGAGTTCTTTCATTAAGAAATAAAATCCAAGGTGGATAATGGTCGGTTTTAACGCAATAAAAAATGTTTCTTGACCAGTTGCCTACAGCTGATGAGCTCCAGTAAGAGCGAAACCAGTTCTCACTCCACTGAAACAGTTTTGGAGTGTGAATTGGTCCTGTAGTACTGTGTCAGAAACAGAAACAACTGAAAAAGAAGTGCTTGAATTAGGAGGAATTTGTGACTGTTCTAAGTTTTTTAAGTACTGTATTTTCCCCTAATGAGTAAGAGTCGCTAAAAAGTCAAATAACCTGTTATTTTTCACTTCAGAAAAGCAACAGATACTATAATCTATAATTGTAATCACTGTATCTATGTATATGAGTGTGAATTTGATTTGTACAAGCACTTACTAATTACAATAATCTTGTAAACAAATGTCTAGTTTTACATCCACCCTCTTTAATCTACTCCTAGGCTGTTCCATCCTCAGTTACTTTGATGACGACTGCCCCACTCAAACTGCCCCAGGAAAAATCTTGGACACCAACCAAATTGGCCTATATCAGCCACCTGGAGGCCCACAAGAGGACTCAGCTGACTGTTTTTTCCCCTGGTTAATTGTGGACATAATCAAGCTCATGGTGGCCCTCCTCCCCCCACCGTTCTTGTACCGTTTTTTAATTTTCGGTGACGGCTTTGTTACATATATACACATAGCTCTTCGTTAACCCCTCTCCTGTTCTTTTTGCCTCCAGTCAGCGTTCATTTGAGCATCAGAAAACTAAATTTGCAAGCTGACTGGTTATCAGATGCGAATTTATATGAAGACTTTTTCAAAGGTCGTGGGTATATTACTGAGCAACAGTATAGAAAGTACTTGTCTTTTGAGGTTAAAAGAGCCTTCTTTAATTTATAGGAGGATAATATGTAAAACAGAGTCTAAGCTGAGGTAGTTATAAAAACAGGTTGTTTTACCTAAATGAATATCCAGCAGAATGAGACAAATTTTTGTTGTTCTGCACTGTCTTGCACATTGCAAGTCTTCTTACAACCTAGTTTCTACCTTAAATGCTGTTCAGTCCCCCAGATCATTGTGTAAACCCAGTGGTTCCCACCCTTATTGAGGACCACCGAACAGCATTTGCAAGAATGTGTGTAAAGGTGGTAGAGAATGTATTTGTTAGATTTATTTATCTATTTATTATTACCATTATATTGCTTGAGATTTAAGAAGTTTGATTCAGAGCAAGGTTCCTCCTCCTTGCAGGTACAGAGATCATTTAAAAGGCTGAAAACTGCCTTTTCAGAAAGGTCCTGAGGAAGCCTGTGACTGTGTGCTTGATGAGCATAAATGCACTTTGTTTTCATTTACATGAGAGATTATTTTTGTACTTGATGAGGGAAAATTTGGAGGAAGATTTGGCATTAGAGTCAATTTTTAAATATAATTAGGCTCTGGATAGACTAAAGGGAAGGACGTCCTAGATGGGAGCAAAGCCATGGAAAGGTTAATGTGCAGACTGGAGGAATCTTAAGCAGACTGGTCAGGCACTGGTACAGTATAGTGAAGTACTAGGATTTTAGGAATGTGTTGAGAGATGAGATTGGAAAAGTAGTGCAACTGGTTTAGTGAGGAATCGCAGCTCTGAGGTATAAGCTTGAAATGGTTTTATTTTTTCCTTAAAGGATCTCCAATCATACTGTGTAAAACACCCCTGTCCCCTCCACTTCCCTCTGAAGTGCAGTCCCTTAATAATGTCTTGGTTTGATATCATAACTTTTCTGCTACTTTTGATTACCAGAGAAAACTTACTCCAGAAATTGACAGGTTGCAATCATTTAAAAAACAAAAATAAGCAACTAAAAACCTTAATCACAAACTCATCTTTCTCCCTGAAGAAAGGTTGAAGCCGTTAGTTCCCAGCTGCTTGGATTAAGGAAGAGGAGTTGTACTTTGGGTCTAAAATATATTCCCTCTCCTTTCTCTAGCTAGCCCTTTTGGAGTTGGGGGAAGATGACCAGCCAGTGGAGGCAGAGTTTTCATTATCTGAACCTCTCAAGAGGGAAGAGGTAGTCCTGGCCTCACTCTGCTTCCTCTGGTTGCATTTGATGGTGGTCTCTGTGGAGGTGGTATGTGTGGATTTTTTAAGGGCAGTGTTTTAGATCCCCGGCCCCTTCTGCCATTGAGGACCAACTTCATGGAGCAGCTCCTGTGCCTCTTTGGCAGATCCAGTGTAGTACACGCTTTAACCTCATCTCTAGAGTGGATGACACTTGCCCTGGTGCTGTCTCAAGTCACCTGCCCTCCCATTAACCTTTTTGCTCCTTCACTTGGAGTTGAAGAAAGGAGAACAAGAGGGAGGAATGGAGTGAGATTGAGAAAACAATTCAAGTGTTCCAGGTACGAAGTGATCAGGCCTGGGTTGAGTTGCAGATAGGGGACAGTGACAGTAGGAAAGAGAGTGTAATTGCAGGAGACATGAAATTGGTAAAAGAATATGAGGGCAAAGGAAAGGAAGGAGTCATGACTAAGAAAAATGATACCATTGACACAAAAGATTAGCTGGGGGTACACAATTATAGGAGCTATAATTGTGACTTTGGATTTAGCCATTTTGAGTTTGAGGTTATGGTAAAACATCCATTGGAAATGCCTGTATTCAGGTGGAGATTTTAACATAGATATGGAGATAGAATGACCCTGAAGAGATAGATAATTTGTTATCTGTAACTCAAGAACACCACACTGAAAATAATGTGGGCATCAACTATGAGTTGTTGATTCAAGTTATCAAAGTTGATGAATTCTAAGAGGGAAAATAAAGTTGAGGACTGAACCCTGGGGAATGTGAAAGTTGAATAAGAGGATAGTAACCAATGTTTGTTCAGTGCTTTTCTCTTGACAAAGTATGGCACACAGACAAAAGCCGTAAAGTTCTTGAATGATTAAGTTTCTTCTCACTTGGTCTGTCTGTGCTGGGGAATCACAATGCCTTTATAGACTTAATCTCTTTTAAGTAGGTTCTTTATCTACTGCCTATTACATTTTGGTCACCTCTGAGTTCAACTTCAGTTAATATAGTATTGACTAGGTATGATGTTTAAAACTACTTCCTTTATTAGTTTTTAGATTGATTTCTAAATTAAGATTTCAAATTCAGCAGCAGCACATTTACAAGTTATATCTTAAATTGAGTCTTTGGAGAAGGTAATGTCAGTGGCTAATGCCCCTCTGTGAGAATTATGTTACTTTGTCCTGGATTTTGGAATATAGCTTGCTTAATGAGGCCCTTTATAAACTTACTGCAGTTATTTGTATTGTCTAAGCCAAGCCTTTAGTTGTACTAGTGTAGGCTTTGTCTTAGTTATATATATGCAGCAAGATAACGATAATTTTGGTTTGGTTGTTTGGAACCATGTTATACACATAGGTAATTTATAGTAGTAAGGCCACTTTCTATATTAGTTAATGCCCCAAAAGGCAGTCTAAACTAAATGCCAGGATATTTAACAAACAAGCTGGTCATCGTTCCCTTTCTTAGAATTATTCTTCCTGTTTTCTGCATTCTTAGAATTATGTTCCTCAAATACTAGTTTTATTGTATCACTTCTGTGCTTTAATTCCACAAATATATGAGAACCTACTATGTGCTAGAAACTCTATAGTATAATCAAGTCTACAAGCCTATCGTGAATTATTATCCTTTAACAAAGTTTACTCCTGCATATCATTCTGAGGATTCTGCTTGATCATCTGCTCTTACCTTTATTCACCATCGTCCCACCAACACCTCCATCACAGACTGAAACATATATCTTTCTATTAATTCAAAAATTTCATCTTTCTGTTTTGTTTTCCATTAGTACTCCTTCCATCGGGAATTATTTCTTTCCTAGTTTCTGTCAAAACTATGATCTGCCCGCTATTTTATCTAACCTCAGATGAGTCTGGTAACTCATCTACCCTATGCGTGCTTTATTGATATTTGACCAAAGAAGTTGACAATTCTTTTTCATCAAGATTGCTGGAATATTTTGTATTTTTCTGTCTTAGGATAATTTTTGATGTTGACTAATTTTCAGAAAATAGCTAGAATAGTAACCCTCATAAACAGCATAAAAATATGTATTCTAGTGTTGTTGAATTAGTTTTGTAAATGTTTGTTTTATGACCTAAGTAGTGCATATGGACTCCATTTGAATTGCACTGAACATTGCTTATTCTTGATGATAATGTTTGGAAATCACTATCGTACTTTCTGGATCCTTGCCTGGATGAAAGAAGAATTCCTGTCAGGGATCCTTTACACCCTGACTTTTCTGAACTCAGCTCTAGGTGTCTGGGCTATAGGTAGTTGTGTTTTGTTATTGTTTAATTTTCCTTCTCAGTAAGTTTTTATCATCGTTAATGTGCATCGTTTTATTATCTTGGTTTGTTATTTCTCTCCTAGTGTTTTCATTGCTGCCTTATTTCTCCAGTATTTTACCAGTATTATTCCATACCCAACAGCTTATGGGGGTGATAGGGGAATGCTAAACTGCAACTGAAATGAAGTTATATGACTGAATTGAAGGAGGAAAGAGAATGACGCTTTGTAGTACCTTACTTGTTGTGGCACACTTGCATTGGCTGTTCTGATTTTTTTATTTCCCCTCAAGGAAAAGCTTTTGAAAGAATTATTAGTGGTAAAATTTGTGGCCTTAGTTATTCCGCATCATGGATTGTGTGCAAATATATATGGTGTCTTGGTTTAAAAATTTTCTAAATTTTGATGTTTTGACTTTCTTAGATGTAAAACGAAGATCAGTGAGAGATTTGAAGAAATGCAGAGTGAATTGGTACCAGTCAGCATGTCAGAGACAGAGCACATAGCCTCCATTTCCTCTGATAAAAATATTGGGAAAACATCTGAATTAAAGGAAGATTCATGCAACTCGTTTTCTGGTGGTGAAAGCAGCAGCTTAGAAAATGAGTCCAAACTGTTGTCATTAAACTTTGATAAAAATTTATGTCCACCTAATGAACACGATAAGCACATTGAAGTACAGGAAAATTATATTCCAGATCATGGTGGAGGTGAGGATTCTTGTGCTAAAACAGACACATACCCAGAAAATTCTGAACAAATAGCTAATTTTCCTGGTGGAGATTTTACAAAGCAAGTTTCAAAAACAAATGAAACAGAACAGACAGTAACACAAATATTGGCAGAATTAAAGTCATCTACATTTACAGAAGCAGCTAATCAAAAGACTTACTCAGAAAGTCCCTATGATACAGACTGCACCAAGAAACTTATTTCAAAAATAAAGACTGTTTCAGCATCAGAGGATTTGTTGGAAGAAATAGAATCTGAGCTCTTATCTACAGAGTTTGCAGAAGAACACCAAGTACCGAATGGAATGAATAAGGGAGAACATGCGTTAGTTATCTTTGAAAAGTGTGTGCAAGATAAGTATTTGCAGCAGGAGCACACCATAAAGAAGTAAGTTTTTTATTTTTTGAGGTTATTTTTTTCCCACAAGAATTAAAGATTGATTTTTTAAAGGAGGGTATCATTTTGTCCACTTTTAATTCTGCACTAGAGCCATGCACATAGTAGTTGATCAACAAATATGTATTTACTGAATAATTGAGCAAATGTCAGTTTGTGGAGTTAATTTCTATTTTAACTATAGTTTGATTTCATTTTACTTTATTATATCACCCTGTATTTTTATTCTAGATTTATATACGTAAGTGATGCATAGGTTTACTCTTTTGTAACCTTTAACAAAGGAAAGTAAAACATGCTAGCCATCACTAAAATACAGACTGATTCTCTTTTTTAAAAAGTTAATTTTTTGTTATCCACATAATACCTTTATTTCCAAATGAAATGTTTTGTGACTCAGCTCTAAAAGAGCTAGTTTTTTTTTCTTTTGCTTTCATTTAATTTTCCATAAAGAAAACAACCTTTCAGTTCCTTTGGCTTAAATTTTCATGAATGCGTCTATTTCCAAATGTCTTTGTTTATACATCCATTCCCCTATTTTCTAATATCAATATTACTGTTGAAGGTCCCAACTAGACTTTTTAATTAAGAGCAGTTATTTGTGTATAGGATGTGCTTTGGGCATCTAAGAATAACAGTTTGAGGGCTTGCTGCTCTTTACTTCTCCCATCCTAAATTGTTTACTTATGAACTGTGGCCAAGGTTCTTGTATTTCAAGTAGTTTTCTGCAACAACTTGAGTATACACCTTAATCATATAAATAATCCAGGTTAAACCACTGTGCCAGAAAAGGCTTGAGTCAGCTTGCGTTCTACATTTTTCTCTTTCCAAAACATCTGCATAACTTGCTTCTTCGCTGCATTCTTCTGTGCCTCAGAGAAGCCTACCCTGACTACTTTGTCTAAATCACAGCTCAAGTTACACTCTCTGTCCTCCAGCCCTCTTTTAGTTTTCTTAACAGGACTTTATCACTACCTGACATTTTATTCTAAATATTTGTTGTTTATTTTCATTTTCTCCCTTAGAATGTAAGCTCCATGAGGGCAGAGACAGTTTGCTCACATACTCCCAACATGGAGAATAGTATAGCTACATAGTAGGTACCCAGTAAGTATTTGTTGAGTGAATGAGGGATCTTGAAAGTAGAAGATGGAAAGGCCTGGGGTATGAAGTTAGAGTTGGGTCCAAATCTCAGGTCAACCACTTACTAGCTGTATGACCTCGAACAAGTACTAGGCTTCATTTTTTTCTTAATTCATAAAACAGATAATTTCATAGACTTGAATATTAAATGAAATAATGCACTTAAAGCTAAACTTAGTAAATAGTAATTGTGCAGTAAATGTTATTAAGTAATAGCTATTGCTATTAATAATCCTAAAATATTAGCTGTTAACCTTAAGTATCTTTTTTTATAGTTCTGAGTACTTTGCAGGTAATTTTTAAGCTTTTATTTACATTTGTCTAGGGGACTGGAAACTTCTGCTTAAACTTTTATTTTATTTTACATTTACTACTCTTCTATAGCTATGAGAATATTATTAAAATATTCTGAAAATCTAAAGCAAGATTTCTCAACTCAGCACTATTGACATTTGGGGGCAGATCATTCTTTGTTGCTGGTGGAGCTGTCCTCTGCAGCGTAGGATGTTTAGCAGCATCCCTGACCTCCACTCCACCCAAGAAGCCAGGAGCAACCCTACCCCTATTGTGGTAACCAAAAATGTCCCCAGACATATGCCTGAAGGGGCAAAATTGCCCCTGGGTGAGGACTACTGACCTGAAGGGGTTCAGGTGCTGAAAGGATGAAGTGCACAGTTGAGATGCTCAAAGACATAAACTTAAAAGAGTGTACTTTTATTTATCTGATTATATTTCACTTGATTTGAAGTATACAAATTTCTAGGACAAAGTTAATAGCCTGGCTGGCCAGAGAAAGTTTTGCAAGGTATAATGTATCATTACAAAAGGATTATTTAGAAATGTTGATTTATTAATCATAAGTATCTACACCGTAGTCTGCAAACAGGTTATATTCCACATTTCCATTATTAATGATGTTTTACTTATACTGCCCTTTTTATATTTAGGCTAATTAAGGAAAATAAGAAGCATCAAGAGCTCATCTTAGGCATTTGTTCAGAAAAAGACAATTTAAGAGAAGAACTAAAAAAAAGAACAGAAACAGAGAAGCAGCACATGAACACAATTAAACAGGTAAAAAGACAAACAAAAATCTTTAAAGACTATACTTCAATTTATAAAATAATGTAAATACATTCCTGAAAATCTGTGTATAAATTGGAGTTCTGTAAGTTAAATTGTATTTTAAATACAGAGGATTGTTTGATATGTAAAGGACTCTCTTTTATGAAGTGGGAATCATAGCCTGTTTTTTTTTCTTTCATGTAAATTTATATTTTTATGTGATATGTGTGACTATATTCTACTATATATAGAAATCTGAGAAGAAAAGACAATTTGATTTGGCAGTCAAATGGACTGTTTTTACCAGTTAAGGGAAGAAGCAGTATACACCTATAAGTTTATATCCGGCGTTAGAATGTTTTTAAGCTCATAGTTTAATATGGTTTCATTCTCAATGTTTTGTGAACTACACTGTGAAGATTGCCTCTCCCACTTAGCTTTCATCTGGCTAGCTGGCTTCCCCAGCCTTGCCTTGCCTTTCTTTCTTTCTTTTCTTTTTTTTTTTTAATATTCTGTGATGCATGGATCAACAAAGTGAATATTCAGACTGGTAGCAAAACTGAGCTATTTGAGCTGCTCTTTATCTTTCTGAGCCGCTTTTTTTCTGTGGACAGGATTAGAAGCAGTCTAGCCTTAAAAGTCTTTTCTTGTGTCTCATCTTTTCACAGAAAGCAATATAATGAAAATAACAGTAAACAATTGGTAATAATATAATAAAAAATTGAACCAAATTTCACTTACTTATGCTTGGTATACTTAACGAACCTTTACACAGTTGGAAGGTGACTGTATGTGTAAATTTTGCATATTTAATCCTGGTTTTTATGTGCTCTAGAGCCACCACATGTAAACCAAACTTAGAATTTTAAAGTGTGAGGGAGCCTTGATAATAGGCTGAATCCATATTTTGGTAGACAGATCACTCCTGATGACCAGAAACTTCAGGCTGAATAGATGGGAGAACCAGAGATGTTCCTTTCATGAGCTTGGTAGTGGTTGTGCCTTTTTAAGAGAGAAAATTGTATTCACCTTGCTTTTGCTAGCCTGTACAGTAGGATTTTCTTCATTTTATCTCTAGATCTGCACCATTCAATATGGCAGCTAGTAGCCACATCTAAGTATTGAGCACTTAAATAGTGGCTGGTCCAAATTAAGAGGTAGAATACACAGTTAATTTCGAACACTTAGGACAAAAGAAAGTAAAACAGCTCAATTTTTCATGTTGATGGCATGTTGAAATATTTTGGATATATTGGGTTTAATAAAACATGCTATTTATTTCACCTGTTTCTTTTTGCTTTTTAAAATGTGGCTACTAGAAAATTTGAATTACACATGTAGCTTGTATTTCTATTGGAGAGTGTTGGTCTAGATCATTTTGTCATGAGGAAAATTAGTACACATGTACTATAAGCTAACATAGAGGGTTTTTTAAACAGCTTTATGGAGATATGATTTTTTAGGTTCCTTATATAGTTCACTCATTTCAAGTATACAGTTCAATGGTTTTTAGTTGTGCGATGTTTATCACAATTTTAGAATATTTTATCACCCAAAAAAGAAACCCTATACCCATTGGTGGTTACTCTTCATTTCCCTCCAACCCCTCTCCTCTCTCCTTCCCAAGTCTTAGGGAACAACTAATCTACTTTCTGTCTCTATATATCTGCCTGTTCTAAACATTTCATGTAAGTGGAATCATACAATACGTAGCCTTTTGTGTCTGGCTTCTTTTACTTAGCATGATGTTTTCAAGGTTTCATTCAAGTCGTAGCATGTATCAGTACTTCATTTCTTTTAATGGCCGAATAATATTCCATTGTATAGATATACAACATTTTGTTTATTCTTTCATCAGTTGATGGATATTTCAGTTGTTTCCATTGTTTGGCCATTATGAATAATGCTGCTATGAATATTCATATACAAGTTTTTGTGGGGACGTATGCTTTCATTTCATTTGGGTATATACCCAGGAGTGGAACGTTGGGTTAAATGATAATTCTATATTTAACTTTTTGAGGAACTGCCAGACTGTTTTCCAAAGTGGCTGGACTATTTATATTCCTGTCAGCAGTGTATGAGAGTTCCAGTTTCTCCACATGCTTGCCAACACTTAGTGTCATTGGACTTCTTGATTATAGCCTTCCGAATGGGTGTGAAGTGGTATCTCATGGTTTTGATTTGCATTTTCTTAATGGCCAGTAAAGTTGAACATCTTTTCCTGTGCTTGTTGGCCATTCATATATCTTAGATAGATACTTCTGTAGAAATGTCTAAGTCCTGGGCCTATTTTTAAATTGTTTTTTGTTGTTGTTGAGTTATGATAGTTCTTTTTATATTCTGGATTATAACCCTTTATCAGATATATGATTTGCAAGTATTTTCTCCTATTCTGTGGGTTGTGTTTTCACTTTCTTTCTTTTTCTTTTCTTTTTTTTTGAGGAAGATTAGCCCTGAGCTAACTGCTGCCAATCCTTCTCTTTTTTCTGAGGAAGACTGGCCCTGAGCTAACATCCGTGCCCATCTTACTCTACTTTATATGTGGGATGCCTACCACAGCATGGCTTGCCAAGCGGTGCCATGTCTGCACCCAGGGTCCGAACCGGCGAACCCTGGGCCACCAAAGCGGAATGTGCACACTTAACTCCTGCGCCACCGGGCCAGCCCCTGTTTTCACTTTCTTAATGGTGTACTTTGAAGCACAAAAGTTTTAAATTTTGATGGTATCCAATTTATCACTTTTTTTCTTTTACTGCTGGTGCAATTCATGTTATATGTAAGACTCCATTGCCAAATCTAAGATCATGAAGATATACCCCTATGTTTTCCTCTAAGAGTTTTATAATTTGTCTTTTATATTTAGTTCTTGATTCATTTTGAGGTAATTTTTGTATATGGTATGATGTAAGGGTCCAACTTTACTCTTTTGTATATGGCTATCCAGTTGTCCCAGAAGCATTTGTAGGAAAGACTGTTCTTCCTTTGTTGAATGGTCTTGGCATCCTTGTTGAAAATCAACTGATACATGGGTTTATTTCTGGCCTCTCAATTGTTTCTTTGATCTGTATGTCTGTCATTATGCTGGTGCCACACTGTCTTCATTGCTATTGTTTTGTAGTAAGTTTTGAAATTGGTAAGTGTGAGTTCTTGAATTTTGTTCTTTTTCAAGGTTGTTTGGCTAGTCTCAGTTCCTTGCATTTCCTTATGAATTTTACTGTCAGCTTGTCATTCTACAGTGAAGCCTACTGGGTTTCTGTTAGGGGTTACATTGAATCTGTAGATTCATTTGGGGAGTATTGCCGTCTTAACAGTAGTAAGTTTTCCAATTCACAAATATGAGATATCTTTCCATTTATTTAGATCTTTAATTTCTTTCTAAAATATCTTGTAGTTTTGAGAGTGTAAGTTTTGCACTTCTTTTGTTAAATTTATTGCAAGGTAATTTATTCTTTTTTATCTGTTTGTTTGTGAGGAAGATTGGCCCTGAGCTAACATCTGTTGCCAATCCTCCTCTTTTTGCTTGAGGAAGATTGTTGCTGAGCTAACATCTGTGCCAATCTTCCTCTCTTTTATGTGGGATGCCACCACAGTGTGGCTCGATGAGCAGTGCTAGGTTTGCGCCTGGGATCTGAACATGTGAACTCCAGGCTGTTGAAGTGGAGCACACAAACTTAACCACTATGCCATAAACCCAATTTATTCTTTTTAATGCTATTGTAAATGGAATTCTTTTCTTAATTTCATTTTCAGGTTGTTAATTACAAGTGTAGAAATAATTGACTTTTTAATATTATATCCTGTAACCTTACTGAACTCATTTATTAGTTCTAAAAATTTTTTTTGTGAATTTCTTAGGATTTCCTGAATACAAGGTCATGTCATCTGCAAACAGTTTCACTTACTTCTTCCTTTCTAATCTGGGTGCCTTTTATTTCATTTCCTGCCTGATTGCCCTGCTGGATCCTCCAAAACAATATTGAATAGAAGTGGCGAGAGTGTGTATCTTTCTCTTATTCCTGATCTTAGGGAGAAAGCATTCAGTCTTTCACCATTAAGTACAGTGTTAGTTGTGGGTTTTTCACAAATGCTCTTTATCAGGTTGAAGAAGTTTCTTTCTATTCCTAATTTGTTGAGTGTTTTTATCATGAACATGTGTTGTATTTTATCACATGCTTTTTCTGCATCTATTGAGATGATCGTGTGTTATTTGTTGTTCTCTTGGTATATTGTGTCACACCAATTGATTTCCAGGTGTTAAACCAGCCTAGCCTTACTAGGATGAATCCGTTTTGGTCGTAGTATCTAATTCTTTCTATATATTGCATGATTGGTTTGCTAGTATTTTGTTGAGAATTTTTCCATCTGTATTCATAAGAGAGATTAGTCTTGTAGCTTTCTTTTCTTGTGATGTCTTTGTCTGGTTTTTGTGTCAGGGTAGGACTGACCTCATAGAATGAGTTGGGAAGTGTTCCTTCCTTTTTGGGGGGAAGAGTTTGTGAACATTTGGTATTAATTCTTTAAATATTTGGTATAATTTACCTATGTAGTGACCTGGGCCTGAATTTTTTTTGTGGGTAGTTTTTTATTTTTTGATTCCTAATTCAGTCTGTTTTGTTGTTATAGGTGCATTCAGATTTTCTATTTCTTCTTGATGCTTTTTTGGTAGTTTGTGTCTTTCTAGGAGTTGTCCATTTCATCTAAGTTAAGTTGTTCATGGTATTCATTCATAATTCTTTTTATTTCTGTAAGGTCAGTATGTCCCTCTTTCATTTCGATTCTAGTGATCAATCGAGCTAAAGGTTTTTCAATTTTATTGATCTTTTCAAAGAACCATTTTTTGTTTTGTTAATTTTTCTCTATTTTTCTATTCTCCATTTCATTAATTTCCTCTCTAATCTTTATTATTGCCTTGCTCTTGCTGGCTTTAGGTTTAGTTTGCTCTTATTTTTCCAGTATCTTAGGATGGAAGTTTAGGTTATTAATTTGAGATCTTTCTTGTTTTTTAATATAGGTGTTTATAGCTATAAATTTCCCTCTAAGCACTCTTTCAAATGCAGCCCGTAAGTTTTGGATATGTTGTGTCTTTATTTTCATTCATCACCTAATTTCCCCTGTGATTTCTCCCATTGGTTATTTAGGTGTTAATTTTTACATATTTGTGAATTTCTCAAATTTCTTTCTGTGTTAATGGGTTCTGCTTCCATTCCATTATGATTGGAGAAGATACTTTATATAATTTCAATATTTTAATTTATTGAGATTTGTTTTATGACCTAGCATATGTTCTATCCTGGAGAATATTCCATATACACTTGATGAGAATGTATATTCTGCTGTTGCTCAGTGGAATGTTATCTAGATGTTTTAGATCCAGTTGTTTTATAGTTTTGTTCAAGTCTGTTTCCTTGTTAATCTTCTGTCTAGTTTTGTCTGTTATTGAAAGTGAAGTACTGAGTCGCCAACTATTATTGTTCAACTGTTTATTTCCTCCTTCATTTCTGTAAGTTTTTGCTTCATGTATTTTGGTACTATGTTTTTAGGTGCATATGTATTTATAATTTTCGTATCTCTCTTCTGGATTGACCCTTTATATCACTGTGACATGTCCCTCTTTATCTCTAGTAACATTTTTTATTTTAGTCTATTTGTTTGGTATTAATGTACCCACTCCTCCTTTCTTATAATTGCTATTTGCATGATATATCTTTTTCTATTCTTTTACTTTCAGTCTATTTATATCTTTGAATCTTAAGCAACTCTTGTAGATAGCGTATTTTGGATCTTATTTTTTATTTCAGTCTGACAATCTCTGTGTTTTGATATGGTTATTTAATTCACTAATTTACTGTTATTATTGATTGTTGGATTTGTGTCTCCCCCTTTTTTTTTTTTTCCTTTGTCTCCCCAAAGCTCCCTGGTACATAGTTGTGGTTTTTTGTTTTTTTTTTTGAGGAAGATTAGCCCTGAGCTAACTGCTGCCAATCCTCCTCTTTTTGCTGAGGAAGGCTGGCCCTGAGCTAACATCCATGGCTATCTTCCTCTACTTTATATGTGGGATGCCTACCACAGCATGGCGTGCCAAGCAGCACCATGTCCGCACCTGGGATCCGAACCGGTGAACCCTGGGCCGCTAAAGCGGAACGTGCGCACTTAACTGCTGCATCACTGGGATGGCCCCCATAGTTGTGTATTTTTTGTTGTGGGTCCTTCTAGTTGTGGCATGTGGGACGCCACCTCAGCATGGCTTGATGAGCAGTGCCATGTCTGCACCCAGGATCCAAACCAGTGAAACCCTGGACCTCTGAAGCGGAGTGCGCAAACTTAACCACTTGGCCTCGGGGCCGGCCCCCTTTATGTCTCCCATTTTTAAATTTTCTATATGTCTCATGTCTTTGTTCCCCTAGTCTTCCTTTACTGCTTTCTTTTATGTTAAGTGAATATGTAACATTTAAATTTCTTTCATGATATTTTCACTATATTTTTTGAATTATTTCCTTAGTAATTGCTTTAGAGCTTAACATCTATCTTACCAGAATCTGCTTCAGATTTATACTAACAATTCTGATGAAGTATAGAAACATTGCTAACATTTGATTTCTATGCTTGAAGTGTATTTACTGTGTTCTTTATTTTTATTTACATTGTTTATATTTATTTTTGAGGTATTGGTGGTCTGTTTGATACAGCTATAAAAATTATCTGGAAATGATTTTTTTACAGTTAGAATCAAGAATAGAGGAACTTAATAAAGAAGTTAAATCTTCCAAAGATAAGCTAGTAGCTCAAGACATTGCAGCTAAAAATGCAGTTCAGCAATTGCACAAAGAGATGGCTCAGCGGATGGAACAGGTATTTTTCAAGTTATTATCATTATTAACTTTCTGATGACTCTTTCTTGTTCATTAAAGTAGACTAACCCTGTTAGACAGTTTTGGACAACAGTGGCATATTAGGAATAAGTAATTTTATTTCTGTAAAAATTAAACTTTTAAAAAAATACTAACACAATACATAAATGCATGCTAACTGCAAAAAAATATTTAGTAAATTAAGGAAGCGTATAGAATAAACGATGAAAGTCCCCCTTCATCTGTCCTTCTCGCTTCCTGCCTCCAATCCCTTTACATCCTGTTCCTTGTTCCATAGCTAAAAATTGATACTTTGGTTATGTGTCTTACCACAGATGCGTATATAAATCACACGTGCTTATGTGTACTTATTCATATACTTTTTTCCCCTACTAGATTGGAATCTTACTGTATGTCTTTTCTCCTGTTTGTAACCTGCTTTTTTCCCCTACTTAACATACTTTGGTAATCTTTTTGAGTTAATATATATGTTTTTGAAAAGAAGTGATTTTAAACAGTGCTTTATTATTATTATTATTATTGCTTGAACTCCTTGAGGATGGGATCTTATTCATCTTCTTTTCTGTATCCACAACACCAGCACCAATGCCTGACTAACAGTCAGTCCTCACAGTGAATTGAAGCCAAAGGGGTTAACTGACTCCTTACACTCTGAATGAGATGGATCCAGTCCTTTATACCTTAAAGCTACTACCATAAGTGGCTTTCTGGAAGAACTTTAAGAAACAGAATATCTTCAACCTTTGTTTCTGTTGTTATTTTTTAAGATTTTATTTTTCCTTCTTCTCCCCAAAGCCCCCCCAGTACTTAGTTGTATGTATTTTCTAGTTGTGGGTCCTTCTAGTTGTGGCATGCGGGACGCTGCCTCAGCGTGGCCTGATGAGTGGTGCTAGGTCTCCACCCAGGATCTAAACTGGTAAAACCCCAGGCTGCCAAAGCAGAGCGCACAAACTTAACCACTCGGCCATGGGGTTGGCCCCTATTTCTGTTATTCTTTACTATGTACTGCCTCTTAGCATTGGAAATGTGTTGTGTATTTAAAACTCACACTATCGGTTCTCAAACCTTTAATACTAATTGAAGGGAAATCTAGAGGATAAGACGTTAAGAAGTTGTTGGTTTTAGTGGACCCAAACATAACTTGGTTAGAATCACGTAGTGAGCTTTTTAAAAAAAATATTCTTCAGAGATTATATTTTAAAATAAAAACAAAGTAATAGTAACGTGCATGCTAACAGTTCAAACAGTAAAAGATAAATCTTCCGCACCGTTTCTCCCATTCCCCCTGCCCAGAGACGACCACTCATGCCCAGTCCCGGTGTATCCTCCCACATGTTTGTTGCATAGACGGGCATGCATATATTCCCTTTCTCCCTCCTCCTTACCTCTTCTTTTTGACAAATGGCAACACACTACACTCGCTACTGTGTATCTGTTTCCTCCCTAATGAGGAAAAGTGTAGGTGAGGTTAATAATAGTAGCTAAGGTAATGAGTTGCAAGCTATATGCCTTCCCATGTGTAAAACACTTGACAGGTATTAACTTATTTAATATTCACAACAACCCTAAGAGATGGGTATTATTAAGTAGATTTTGGAGATTGTTCCATTTAGTTATTTATAGATCTGCTTCGTTCCTTTTTTCTTCTAACTTTTCCTCTCAACTTTTTAATTTGAGAGTTTTCAAGCCTGTAGAAAAGGTAAAAGAATAGTAAAATGAACGCTTGTTTACCCTTCACGTAGAGTCACCAAACCTGGTCAGTTTTATTTAGAAGTGGATTCCTAGCGTGTGTGTGCACTTGTTCATGCACACAAACGCATATTCTCCCCAATTTAGTTTTCCAGCTTGAGTTTTCTTCATTTCTCAGACCAGGTAGGTAGAATGAATCTGAACCTCATGCTTACAGGAGGATAGGGTTGTGTTATAAACTCTCAGGGACTTTATAACGTGTCCCACTCATCCCCCGTGGCCTGGTATTGGTAAAAGAAGGTTTCAGACCTTCCTACTTCCTCTTAGATTTTTTGGCCATGGGGATTTCCCATACTTTCTTGTGAACTCAAGTGTACATTAAAAAGATGTTCGTTCTATTTCTTCTAAAATTTTTGGTGTTTTGAATGGGGAGGGTTTATCTGCTGTATTTCGAGAAGCAGAGCTAGTTAGATGTTACCTTAATTTTAACTGACTGTTGAATCCTATTAACTATCTTATTCATACTTTTAGCTTCATCCAAGTCAACGATAAACATCTTAAACCGGTCAAATCCAAAGACTTTACTGACTTCTCTTTCTTTATCTGTGCTGTAAATGGACTGACTTTCTACAGAAGCTTAAATAGTAGTCGCTGTGTTATCTCATTTAATATTCCCAATGATTCTATGAAATGGGACATAGAAATGGAAACTTATAACACCCCAGGTTGTTCCTTTGCAGCTGACCCATGGATGACTGAGTAACAGGACATTCTTGTGAACATTCCCTGCTGTAGTCAAGAACCTCATAATATTTTACTGCATCTATTGTAATTGTCTTTTTTCTGTTTTTTCTACTTCTTGTCTCTCAACTTCAATGAAACTTTCATGCTACCACCAGTTATCTTACTAAGACACACATTTAATAAAAGGTTCTGATCTATAAATATTTCTTCAGCTTCCCATTGCCTGTAGGATAAAATCTCAAATTATGAGCATTACAAGAGAAGCCCTTCTTGCTTTCAAGATTTAATCACTACCTCTCTTTCTGTTTTATAACTACTTCCTCCCCACTCCAACCAACACACCAAGTTTAAACCTTACAAAATGACTTAATATCCTCTAAATATATCATGTATTTTATACTTTTAGGCATTAACACATGATAATCACTCTACTTTGAATTTCTTTCCTTGACTAACTCCTTGTGTTCTGTTGAATCCTACTTAACCTTCAATGTCTAGCTCAAGTATAGCACCTTGTCCAAGTACAGCATCTTTCACCCTTAATGCCGGCTCTTCCCGGGGAACGTTAATATTTTTGTCTTTTCAGAGAACTTTGTACATTCATTCACTAGAAATTACATTGGATCATAATGTTTGTTTATGTGTTGTTCTTACTAAGTAGTGAGCTCTTCCAGGACAGAAGCCGTGACTTGTTCTTCTTTGTGTTCCCAAAAGCTAATATGATATCTGAGCATTAAGTTTTCATGAAACCAGACTTCTTTTAAAGTTGACGTTACCATTAATTGTTCTTTTCTAAGTACAGTTATTCAATTACCTAAAAGTCTATCTAATTCTGTTAGCCAATTCCAGCACAATTTTCTCAATCCTTGTTCACAAGCACATTGTCAAATCCTTAGGGATCTCTGGTTTCCCTATTCCAATGTTTTCCTTAATTTTTCTTGAAAATTAGTAGGCTATTTCAGTGGGGAAAAAAAATCCCAATTGGATGACTAAAAAAGTACTTACGTATATGTTTAGTATTCTGAGTGTTTACTAGATGTACTTATCAGCTGTACCAGAACTTCATGAAACTTTGTCGTAAAGACAAAGCTCCTAGGCGTCATCAGAGCACAGGAGCTTTTCCTACACTATGCCCTCTTCAATTCAGTTATAGTATCAGTTGGCATTTACCACTAGATACCATTCAAAATCCCTAAAGTTTAAGATTGCAACTTCACGTTTGCAAACCATGAATTTACTTAAATTAAAGGCTATCTGTAGAAGTTTTCGTTGTATGAAATTTCAGAATATGGAGTACCAGCTTATACTGAGTGAATTTTAAATGGGTATATAGGTGTCACACTTAATCTAATTAGGTATTTCTTATTAAGTGCAAAATACTTTAAGAAGCTTTTCATATATAGGAAATCAAATGATCATTAATTAGTATATTGTTACTTTTTTTGTTTCTCTCTTTTTTTTTTTTTTAAAGATTGCCACCTGGGCTAACAACTGTTGCCAATCTTTTTTTTTTTCTGCTTTATCTCCCCAAACCGCCCCCTGTACACAGTTGTATATCTTTAGTTGCACGTCCTTCTAGTTGTGGGATGTGGGACGCCACCTCAACGTGGCCTGACGAGCGGTGCCACGTTCGCACCCAGGATCCAAACCCTGGGCTCCCGCAGCGGAGTGCACGAACTTAACCACTCAGCCACGGAGCCGGCCCCTACTTGCTTTTTTTGAATGAACTAAGGTTATAGATTTTAGAAATTGTCAGCCATTCAATCAGGGTTCAGGCAGAAAACAGGAACTGATTATTTGAGGGAGAATTTAATAAAAAGGCTCTTTACTCAAAGATATGGGCAAGATTTAGGGAGTCCAGCAAGGGAAAATGCAGGATTCTGGGTCTGCTGGAGGAGGTAGTATCACTCTTTGGGCTAAAGGAATAAGGATAAGATGCAGGTAGTGCAACCTAGAGAAGGTAGTTGTTTAGAGAGGGCTCCTGACTGGAGTAGTGGCCTTCAGCCATCCTGTGGTGACTCTGGAAGAGCAACATCCCACTTTCTGCCTACCCTCCTGGTCCTCTGCCTAGTGCTCCCTGTTGGCTGAACCCAACTGGAAGTATGAGGGTAGGAAACTTGTTGATCTGGTCCCTGAGGGTCATCTTCCTGGAGCACAGGGGTGGATGGGAACAGTGGGAGAGTGGATCTGGAGGACTAAACAGAAAAGAGCAACCATTCAACCAGAGTAAAAGGAATGGGAAAGGGTAAAAGCAAATATTAGTGACTAATTTATTTATTGTATCATTTCTGTATAATTTTGAATTCTTCCTTTCATTTTAAAATTTCATGAAACAGGTCCTGGGAATGTTACGCAAAAACCAAGAAATACGTTGGTAATATTATACAAAAATATTATTTATTTTGATTTTCAAAAAATATTTTTTGTTAATGCTAGATTTTTTTTTTCAAAGGCCAATAAGAAATGTGAAGAGGCACGCCAGGAAAAAGAAGCAATGGTAATGAAGTATGTAAGAGGTGAGAAGGAATCTTTAGACCTTCGAAAGGAAAAAGAGATACTTGAGAGAAAACTTAGAGATGCAAATAAAGAATCTGAGAAAAACACTAACAAAATTAAGCAGCTTTCTCAGGAGAAAGGACGATTGCACCAGCTGTATGAAACAAAGGTATAGCTTGCGCTCTCGTACTGTATTTGAAATTTGTTCTCTTTGCTTTCTCTTATTTAATCAAGTAATCATAACTTAACATGGTTAAACTACTATTAGACATAAAGTTGTTTTAATTATTTTGCCTTCTAAGAACGTGAATGCTTTAGTAATTACAGTGTCTTGTTACCTGTCTGCAGAAAGTGTTTGCTGTGAAAGGTGAGACACTGACACATGTTGTTCGTTAGATAACTTTTTTTTTTCGGGGGGGGGGGGTGGGGAGATTAGCCCTGAGCTAACATCTGCTGCCAATCCTCCTCTTTTCGCTGAGGAAGACTGGCCCTGAGCTGACATCCATGCCCATCTTCCTCTGCTTTATATGTGGGATGCCTACCACAGCATGGCTTGCCAAGCGGTGCCATGTCTGCACCCGGGATCTGAACCAGCGAACCCCAGGCCGCCGAAAAGTAGAACGTGTGCACTTAACTGCTGCGCCACTGGGCTGGCCCCTAGATAACTTTTTCTTGATAGATTTTTTTTAAAACTTTCTTTTAAAATCTGTATGTTGAAGAAATGAGTTTGTGTCTCAAGGGAAGATTTTATTTTGGTAAGATATATGCATAGTAGTGTCAAAATATGAATAGTTTTTGAGCCAGAAGTATAATTTGACCAGAATCTTAATATAACACTATTCATCATAGAATAGAATTTATATTTTTCTTGCAGAAAAACATATTCTTCTTAGATGCTGTCCAAGGAGGTTTAATTACTGAGCTGTTCAGAGCCCTTGCTGTTAACTACCAGCCTCATGGCTTGGTCTTGTTTCCAGTGGATTATCATTTCTTGGTGATGAATGTTATTTTTTATTAATTAACTTTTAGTTCAGGAATACTGTCATTATTCTCAGAAATTCTGGGAAAACCAATTTAATTTGTAGTTCACCTTAATGCCAGCCAGTTGGGAAGAATCCTGAAGGTATACTTGTACTCACAGTTTTTCTAGTAGGTTAAAATATATATGTTGATCATCTTACGTTTGTTAATTGGATTTAGTATTTTACTCCTCTCTTATGATTTAAGCTTTAAATCAATTTTATAGCTTTTAGGCCATAATGTGCCAGCCCTTGAATTATAGTGTTATTGCTTTGATTATTTTGAGGAGTTATAAAAGGTACACTAATTACTTGATTGTTTAAATGAAAAAATATGACCTAGTGATATCATTTTAGGAAGGTGAAACTACTAGACTCATCAGAGAGATAGAAAAATTAAAGGAAGATATCAACTCTCACATCATTAAAGTAAAATGGGCACAAAACAAATTAAAAGCGGAAGTGGATTCACATAAGGTAAGTATTATAAAGCAGTGGAAGAATTACTAGAATCAGTTTTAACAGCGAATGCAGTAATAGTTAATGAGGCATAAAGCTTAATTTAGTGACATCTGTAGGATAGGTTGGGCCTGAATATTGATGAGTGTGAAAGATATTTCCTTGCATGATTTACATATTAAATTGGATAGAGTGTTAAATTTTATCATTTGTTGTTTACAACCCCCAAATTGACTTCGTTCTTTAAGCATTTTTTTGGTATGCTATATTTTATATTAACCATTGTCAGAAATTCAAGGGGAAGAGGAGAATCTGTAGATTATCAAAATTGAAAGTAAACTCTGGAAATAATAATTTCCAAGTTTTCAAAAATAAGTTTAATGATACTGTTTAAAACTATAATCATGGGTTATCTCATTAAATAATTCTAAGTCAGTAGAACTGTTAACAACTTTTGGATATTTGTATACAGTATTATCAGAGTAAACTAGGGGAGTTGTCTGGGTTGACAGTGGTCAAAGACAGGTTAGAGAATGGTGGATTTCCCTCCAGTTCTGAGCTAACTGCTGATCAGTGCGTGAGTGTTGGGAAACTAGAGGCAGAGAAAGAACTGCGAGAAAGGACCAGGGGCAGCAATCCCTGGAGCTCACACAGGGCTACAAACCATTTAAAGTTTTCCCTTTACTTTGGGTTATAGAACTGGAAATTAAAATTCCAAATCCTGTGACATGGTAATGATTTCGTAACTACCTGAGTTGCTTAAACATCTGAACATAATACCTGCTCATGTCTAATGTGTGTGGCACTTTCCTCGTCCTCATCTATAGTCCCTAAGAGACAGGATCCTAAAACCTATTAGAATACTAGCATCAAGGAGTAAGACTATTTAGTTAGGTCTTCTGTGTGCCATGTGTTCAAAGAATGTGTGATAACAGACTTAATGGCAGCTTTGAGGTCAGATGAAACCAGATGCTTTGTAAGTAGGTTTAAGGCTGATGTGATAAGGTTACATGGTATAGACTGCTAGAAAATGAAAACAGTGAGCATATTGACCTGGTATGTGAATGTTAGAAATTTACCGGTTCTTTTTAAAAGCGTTTATTAGCCAGCAGGCGTTTTACTGGGTCTCCCTCTGTGCACAGCACTATATTGAATAATATGGAGGATGTAAAAGCCATAGAAGACACAGTAATTACTTTCAAAGAGTGTCTGGGATGCGATCCTGGTTACCTGTTTTACATATTTACCTAGTGGATGTGAGAGGGAGTCTCTGGATCAAAGGAGACAAGATTTAATCACGATCTGGGCAGTGTAGACCACTTCTTAAGATGTGGACAAGAGCCAGGACTCGTAGTCAGTTTTTCTCTAGGCACCCTTTCCAATTTCTAGTCCCTGCCCATCAGGGCTTAGATATTAATACTGGAGTCCTGGGGGTTACTGGATTCATTGTGATCATTAGCTTCTGATCATACCTCCAGGACCTGTTACCAGAATTTAAGTCTTAGACTAGGTAGACTGAATACCCTGATCATCAGTAGAATCATCAGTAGGGTCAAACAATAGAAACAACTTACTTGTTCTCTTTTATAAACTCCCTCGGAGGTTAAACTGAAATGTGTTTTTAACCCCTAGCCTCTAAAAACAAAAGCCTTTGGAGTGTAGTGAATAAAGAAGAAGGACTCCCCCCAAGTATACCTCATATGCTTGTTCACCTGCCTGGTTGCTACCTATATATCTGGTCTCAGGATAAGATAATCTCACTGGAGCATGGATACGGCTGGCAACAGATGTGGCAGTAGATTCTTGTAGACCATGCTTTGACTGTGCTGGGTGCTGCCAGATAGTTTTGCTTTAGAGAAAACTAGAGCAGTGGAGTCTTAGATATCAAGGCAACATCTAGACCAGCAGGATGTAATAGACTGCAGACCTAATGTGCGACCAGGGGTCGGTGTGTTTTGTGATGTATTCCCTCAACAAGACTGCCGCTTCCTATGCTCTCCTCTCAAGGTTACGTATGTTGTCAATGACAGCTGAATGAGGTTAAATGGTTTGTTTACTCCTAAGGCCCACTAATTAGAAGCTAGGGCTCACTTTTAATTAGCTTTGCTATTATCTCCCCTAGTAAAACTATATTCTATGTTCTGTTCTATAACTCTTCGTTTCTATAAGTATATTCTATTGCATTATGGAATAACAGGGTCTAGATTTACCCTCCTACCTTAAAAAAACTAAAAAAATATCTGTATGAAACAAAGATTTTAGACTTGGGACAACGCAAGGCAGCGTAGGACAGTGATCCCTGAGAGAAGGGAAACAAGCAAGATGTAATACCTGGAGAGTTTCCAGGTTACAGCAAAAGGAGAAGAATCCAAACGGAGTCCAGCAGTCTCCCTAAATTGAGGAGACAAGAGTATGAAGTATGGGAAACAGGGCAGAGTACCAGAGAAGAGAAAGATGCCGATCTGCGGTGTGATCTCCATATGGAGATCTCAGTTCTTAGCACACTGCTAATCAGTATATGTGTGTGAGAAAACTACAGGAGTGGAGAAAGAACAATCAGAAAGGAGTACGGACAACAATTTCTAGAGCTCACATAGGACTAGAGACTGTTCATGTTTCCACCAGCAAAGAGAAAACCCTCTTAACACACAGGGCATCAAGTGGTCCTCAGAATGGTGTTGCTTTAGCAGTGGGGACTAATTAGCCTTAGAATAAAATCTGTTATGGACCCCACCTAACAAAGCTTTAAAAGAAAGCCTCAAATCAAATTGTTTCAAATAATTTAACTATGTCCAAGAACAAAGCCCCAAGATATTTGAGTACAAAGATAGCCAGGACCTAAAAGCGTAAAATTCACAATGTTTGGTGTCCAATAAAAAATTCCCAGACATGCAAAGAAGCAGGAAAATATAGCCTATAATGAGAAGAGAAGAAGAATCAATCAATAGAAACAAAGCCAGAAATTATATAGATGATTGAATCAGAAAACAAGGATGTTTCTGAAACAGCTATTATTAATATACTCCATATATAAAAAAAAAAAAGATACAGCCTGAGTATGTCAAGGAGAGACATGGAAGATTTGAAAAAGGCCAAATTGATATAATGTCTGAGATTAAAAATACATTGGATGGGATTAACAGAAGATTAGACACTGTAGAAGACAACATTAGTGAACTTGAAAAACATGAAACTTGACAAACATGAAAATATAGTAGTAGAAACTGTATGCTAGTGACTCCCACATTTATAACTTCTACCCAGAATTCCAAATTCATATATTCAAGTGGCTACTTGACATCTGACATCTTGGATGACTTAAGAGGCATCTTAAACTTAGCATGTCTAAAATTGAGTAGATGATGTGCCATTTTCCTACATTGCTTAGGAATGCTCCGTTGCTCCAGGCCTTTAGCAAATCTTCTTGCTCACTTCTTTTAAGTCTTTACCCATGTATCACCTTCTCAATGAGACTTTCCCTGGCTACCTTTACTAAACTTTCACCTCCCCCCAGACTTTCTCATGTCCTCACTTTACTTTTACTCCTTAGCACTTGTCACTATCTAATATAACATTTTTAATTATGTATTCTACTTATCTGTCTCCATCACTAGAATATCAGCTTTATGAGAGTAGAGGTTTTAGCTGTTTTCTCACGCTGCAGTTTCCCAAGAACATAGAACAGTGCCTGGTACGTGGTAGGTGCTCAGTGAATGCTGAATGACTCAGTGAATGAATGAAGCATGGTCAGTACCTTAAACAAAACACATTTAATGTGATTCTTGCTTTTCTTTTATTCAATTATTTATTTAATAAATATTTATTTGGCAGATAGGAATCTCTCAATTGCTATTTTTTGAGTGACTGGAGTACGTACTATGTGCTAGGCTATGTTATACTTATTAATGATATAAGAGTGAGAAAAAAAACCAGGTAAAGTTTCTCTTTCACTCTCTTCTCATTGAGCTAATATTTGAATATTAAAAAACCGATATTTGAAAAACGTCTCCAAATGTTTATATTTTAAAAGTGATACTGAGTTTTAATACAAGTCAAATTATTATTAAAAGACTAGCAACTGAAAATATATAACTGAATGCTTAAATATATGGTAGATTTATCTAAAAACAAAATGACATAAGAAACAGTGTGTGAAGGATAGATGCAGTTTAGATGGTTTAAGAGATGAAGGGAAAGGCATTTCACGTGGAAGAACAACAAGAAAAAAGGGAGATGAATATTCAGTGTTTGGGAAGATCAACCTAACTAGAGCAGAAGGTTTATATTAGGTATTCCTTCATTAATTCCACAAATATTACTTAAACAATTAATATGTGGGAAGTACTGAGCTGGGTGCTGTCCAGAAGCTATATCCTCAATGGAGAAAACACATAAGCTGCAGTACAGTATATTAATTGTTATAATCTTGGATGCCCTGGATTCAATCTGTGGGAAGGCAGAATAGCAGCATCTGCTCCTTTCTGAAGGGAAGCTACTAGGAAGAGATGATACCTAAACTCTCATTTGAAATGCACATGGTAGCTAAAACCATGGGACTGGATGGCTACTCTGAAGGAGGATTTTGGAGAAAGAGCTGCAGGCCAGGGCTGTATCTTAGAAAATCGCCACAGGAAGTAGAAAGCCAGTCAAGGAGATGGGGAAGGCAGCAATGAAGAGGGAAAAAACAAGAGTATGTTGTCTTGTAATGGAAACAGAGGAAGGATATTCAAAGAGTCAAGAGTGGTCAGAACTGGAGCAGGTAAGTCAAGAATAAGAAATGAGAAAAGTAATTGGATTTGATGAGAGAGTAGTCCCTGTGAACCTTCAGAATTGCTGTTGTAGGAGAGTGGTTAGGAACAGAAACCAAGTTGCAGCATCAGTCTATAAAAAAGCAGATTTGAATAGAAACCATGGCCATAAGCCAAAAAACTGTCTTTTATGTGTGTGTCCAGAGAACTTTGCTCTTCTTATCAGGTTAGTGTCTTCTAGTGATTTGCTGAAAACTATCAAAGTTAACTTTATGTATTGTCTTTCCGTTAACTGCACAGGACACTTGAGTTTTTTGTCAGAAGCATAAAATGTTATTACTGGAATAGTATCCAATCCCTCAGTGGCAGTGCTAAGACAAGGACTTTCCCTACTCTGGTCATCATTCTTATCAGTCATCACATCAGTGTGCCCAACCTTGTCACTGTGTTTATGTCACTGCAGGAAACCAAAGATAAACTCAAAGAAACAACAACTAAGTTAACCCAAGCAAAGGAAGAAGCAGATCAGATACGAAAAAATTGTCAGGATATGATAAAAACGTACCAGGTATGCTTAACTTTTCAAACAGATTAGTAACAAATTATGCTAAGTATCAGTACTACTCTTGTTAAATTTTTGTATCTGCAATATTTGAGGTGTGGAATGTATTTGGTAGGGCAGTGAAATACAGGTTATTTCCTATGTTAAAGTACTTGCAGCTTCAATAGAGATCTTCTTAGAGAAGTTTTTAGCGAAATAAAAATACTACACAATGTCAGAAGAATGAAGAGTGCAAGGAAATGTATAACTTAAAAAAGAAACTCCTCTGTATTGTTACATGTCTAAAATGCTGTTCTTGTTCATGCAAAATTGGCATATTTAAAATCTTTCAAGGCAGTCATCATTTTTTAGATACGTAAGCTATGTATTTCACTATTAGTAAACTTAATTGCCAAAGCCTTCTTCACTTTTCTAAGTATAAAACCTTAAAAATTGTCATGCTTTTAAAATTTCTTTTCCATTAGGAGTCAGAAGAAATTAAGTCAAATGAGCTTGATGCCAAGCTTAGAGTCACAAAAGGAGAACTTGAGAAACAAATGCAAGAAAAATCAGACCAGCTAGAGGTGAGGAGTTTTGTTCTTTGCATACCCTGGACTGTGTAATAAATATAGAAGGAGGGAAATGACACGTACTTATTGTCATCTACTTTTAAGGCCTTTTGGAAGGAGCAGGTGATAAGTTTTAGATCTAGTTTAGTACATAATGATTTGTGGTTTCTTTTCAACTTTTAAAAGATGCATCATGCCAAAATAAAAGAACTAGAAGATCTGAGGAGGACATTTAAGGAGGGCATGGATGAACTCCGAACACTGAGAACAAAGGTAATTGCATCTTTAGTGACGACTCCGGGGGAAGGGTAAATATCTTTAATTTTGGACTCATTCTGATATTTTAATGTTGGCGAAAGGATATTTATATAGATATTTTCCAAAATAAAAGAACTCAGAGGAATAGAGTATCAGTTCCCCAGCACAAAATTGACTCTTTTGTTGAGATGAAAAGGTCTTCCACTTCAGTCCCTTTGAAGTGTTTGCCAAACATTCCTCCTTCACATTTGCTGTGTCTATAGCTTATCCTTGGGCCTCTGATCTAAAAGCAGTCTTATCAGCAAGTTAATTCGAAAGATAGTTGGACTTTAAAACTATGAGTGTCAGAAAATAATAGAAAGACTGTCTTAATATTTCTCCTGGGTATAATTACTAGTCTTGTGTAGAGTTTTAATTTCTAACAATCTATGAAATCCTTTCCAGTGTTTTTAGTCTTTTTCATAAGAATAGGATCCCTTTTAATATGAATGTGAAAAATATTATCATTGTGTATCATTCATTTATTTAGAAATAGGTTTTTAAGTAACCACCTTGGATTGGTGATCACTTAGTTTTCAAAGTGTCTTTCATGTATCCTTCTATTTGTTCTCCATGCCAGTTCTTTGAGGTAGGTAGGGAAAGTGTTTCCTCTTTTCAGGTGAGGAAATAGAGAGTCAGCAAAAATAAAGTGACATACTAAACCTCCCATGACTAAATCATGAGGAATCTGTGACTGAAACCCAGGACTGTTCACTTCCCATTGTGTTTTCTTCACAATAATTAATACTGCCTCAGAATTCAGCTTAGATTGGTAATATGTAACCACTATCTGAAATAGTTAATGAGAAACAAGAAAATATTGTTTGTAGTTTAACTTGGTTATGGTTATTTGATAGGTGAAATGTCTAGAAGATGAACGACTGAGAACAGAAGATGAATTATCAAAATATAAGGAAATTATTAACCGCCAAAAAGCTGAAATTCAGAATTTATTGGACAAAGTGAAAATTGTGGATCAGATACGGGAGCAGCATGAAAGGTATAAAATGAGCAACTTCTGTTTGTGCTAATCAACAGGCTTTTTAATTCTATCTCAGGTTTCTATTTTTAAGTGCAATTATTGCTTAAACGAATAATTTTACAATTTTACTAGCTAAGAAATTTTTATTCTTATCTTCATTTGAACTTTTTTTAATTATCTTTGAAGTTCTCATCATGGCTTCTAAAAATCAAAGTTTATATTCCCTAAACATTTTATAAGACAGAATGGATTTTAGTTTCTTCATCCATTCCTTAGCTTTCAAATTCTGTTACTTATGCACCATACTTATTTTTCTTCTAAAAGGTAGATATGTGTCTGTATCGATATCTTTGCATGTATGTAGCTTAAGGTCAGGAGCTGACATTATTGCTTGGCTTCTTATAAATCTGTTTAGCTAAACGCTACTCATGACATTACCTGGCAGAGCCTGGATTCCGGTTGAATCCAAATATCTTCTTTTTCATACCCTACTGATACCCAAGCTACAGTACAGCTGAGTGTTGCTAAAGGAATCCTCACCATCATCCATATTGATGCTGCTATAAATTCATGCTTAGCAACTTCAACTGGGAATATTAATACACCTGTAATCCTGCCGTGTGTCCTTAGTCAGTGCCTTCTCCTCCATCTTCTTAGCATCTATTCCAAACCTTACTGCTTTCTTCACACTTCTGGTCTTCCCTCTCATGTCACTGTTTACTCTTACTTCACAGAAAAAATGAGAGTTGTTAGGTGACAGTTCTCTCAACCTTTGGCTGTCAGTCCTAATGAACTTGCTGCATCTGCAACCATTCTTCTTTGTTTTCCTCCTGTTATTATGAAAGAAATGTTCCCGTTCCTCGGATTGAATTGTTCTCTATACTTCTTCTGTGGATCCCATGCTCTTCTGCCTTCTCAGGGTCTTTCTTGATTGTTCCTGCTTATTTCTTGATTGTTTCTTCCTTATCCTTTCTCTCTTACCTCTCTTTCTCCTGACTTTTTTTCTTTCTACGTTTAAATATTATATGTTAAAAAACATCAAAACTCCTATGACCTTCCCCTACCTTTCTCCTTTCCTTCACTACTAAATGTCTTTACAGAATCGGCTATACTCATCTCCACTTCTTCATTCCCTTTGTTCTTCTGTTTCTTTCCACTGAATTCTACTTCTGCCCCAACATTATGTTGAAACTTGCTAATGCTTCCTTACGTCTAGTAGACACTTCTCAGACTAAGTCTTGCTTGAATTTTCAGTACTAACACCACTGAGGCCATTGTCTTTCTGGGTGTGCTCTGTTCTTTGGCTTCATTTCATCATGCTCTACTAGTGTTCCTCCCTACTTCCTGGCCACTTTTTCTCAGTCTCCCCGGCAGTCTTCTCTTTCTGTCATAAAGCTCTCTTTTGTTCTTATTTGATTACACCCCTGGGTGATCCTAACCATTCCTCTAGTATGCTGTAGGACCTTCACATCATTACCTTCAGCCCTTTTTGCTGCACTGCAGACAAACAAGTATCAGACACCTCAGACTTTAACATGGCTAAGTGGATTCATCTCTCTCTCTCACACATACGCCGTTCTGAGTTTCCTGAGATGAGTAGCATCCCCATGATTTTCCCGGGCGGCACCCTTCGCTCTTCTTTCCTTCCCCTCTCACATCTAAGCAGTCACAAAGTATTGTTGATGCTAACTCGTTAATATCTTTCAAGTCCATTTACTTTTCACATCCCAACTGCTGCTGCCATCGCCCAAGCTGGTATCAGCTTTCATCTGGAAAACTGCCACAGCTTCTAAACTGGTTTTTTTGCTTATTTCCCTTTTAATCCATTTCCCACGCTGTGATTAGCAAATCTTTCTAAAAAGAAATCTTCTCAAAACCTTTCCGTGATTTCCCATAGCCTCAAGTATTGCCTAGTGAATTCAATGCCTTAAACATGCTTGGAAGATCATTAATGACCTTGCTTCTCCCTCTGCACCTTATCCTCTTTCACTTTTGTGTTTCAGCAATAGTTGGTTAACAAATGTTGATTGATTGTCTCCTGGGTGCCAAGCCCTGTGTGAAGTGCTTAGTACAGATGTATAGTACAGTCCTTATCCTCATCAGTATTGAACATCTATTTGTTAGTACCAACACGAAGGCATTCTCTTGTTCCCTTCCCAGCTTTAGCACATACTGTTTCCTCTACCTGGAACATATTTTGTTTTCCCACTTGCTCACTCTTACTTTTCCTTTAGGTTAAGAATTAGCAAACTATGGGCCAGAGCCAAATCTAGCCCACTGCCTCTTTTTTTTTTTTGTCCCGAGGTTTTTTTTTTTAGGAAGTCACCCTGAGCTAACATCTGTCGCCAATCTTCCTCTTTTTGCTTGAGTAAGATTTGCCCTGAGGCAACATCTGTGCCAGTCTTCTTCTATTTTGTATGTGGGTTGCCACCACAGCATGGCCACTGATGAGTAGTGTAGGTCCACAACTGGGAACCAAGCCTGGGCTGCCAAAGTGGAGTGTGCTGAACTTAACCACTAGGCCATGGGGCCGGCCCCTGCCTCTTATTTTCTTATTTAAAGATTGGCACCTGAGCTAACATCTGTTGCCAATCTTTTTTTTCTTCTTCTTCTTTTCCCCAAAGTCCCCCAGTACATAGTTGTATATCCTAGTTGTAGGTCCTTCTGGTTGTGCTATATGGGAGGCTGCCTCAGCATGGCTTGATGAGTGGTGCCATGTCTATACCCAGGATCTGAACTGGCAAAACCCTGGGCTAGTGAAGCAGAACGTGCGAACTTAACCACTTGGTCACGGGGCCAGCCCCTAGCTTCTTTTTTTTAAAAAATTTGAGTTCATAATAGTTTACATCATTGTGAAATTTCACTTGTACATTATTTCTTGTCTGTCACCACATACGTGCTCCCCTTCACCCACTGTGTCCACCCCCTACCCCCCTTCCCCTGGTAACTACTGAACTGTTTTCTTTGTCCATGTGCTTGTTTATATTCCACATATGAGTGAAATCATCTGGTGTTTGTCTTTCTCAGTCTGGTTTATTTTGCTAAGCTTATTTCCTTTCAGGTCTTTCCATGTTGTTGTAAATGGGATGAATTTGTCGCTTTTTATGGCTGAGTAGTATTCCATTCTATATATATACTACATCTTCTTTATCCAATCATCAGTCACTGGGCACTTGGATTGTTTCCATGTCTTGGCTATTGTGAATAGTGCTGCGATGAACACAGGGGTACATATGTTACTTTGGATTGTTGATTTCAAGTTGTTTGGGTAGATACCCAGTAGTGGGATAGCTGGGTCATGTAATAGTTCTATTTTTAGTCTTTTGAGGAATCTCTGTACTGTTTTCCATAATGCCTGCAACAGTTTGCATTCCCACCAGCAGAGTACGAGGCTTCCCTTCTCTCCACACCCTCTCCACCATTTGTTATTTTTAGTCTTAGTGATTATAGCCATTTTAACAGGCGTAGGTGGTATCTTAGTGTAGTTTTGATTTGCATTTCCCTGATGATTAGTGATGTTGAACATCTTTTCATGTGTTTATTGGCCATCTGTATCTCTTCTTTGGAAAAATGTCTGTTCATATTCTCTGCCCATTTTTTGATTGGGCTATTTGGTTTTTTGTTGTTCAGTTGTGTGAGTTCCTTATGTATTATGGAGATTAACCCCTTATCAGATAGATGATTTGCAAAAATTTTCTCACAGTTGGTGGGTTGTCTTTTGGTTTTGATCCTACTTTCATTTGCCTTGCAGAAGCTCATTAGTCTGATGAACTCCCACTTATTTTTTCTTTTGTTTCCCTTGTTTGAGAAGACATGATATTTGAAAAGATCCTTTTAAGTTCAATGTCAAAGAATGTACTACCTATATTATCTTCCAGGAATTTTATGGTTTCAGGACTTATCTTCAAGTCTTTGATTCATTTTGAGTTTATTTGTATGTATGGCGTGAGATAATGGTCTACTTTCATTCTTTGGCATGTGGCTGTCCCATTTTCTCAGCACCATTTATTGAAGACACTGTCTTTTCTCCATTGTATGTTCTTGGCACCTTTGTCGAAGATTAGCTGTGCATAGATATGCAGTTTTATTTCTGGGCTTTCAGTTCTGTTCCATAGATCTGTGTGCCTGTTTTTGTACCAGTACCATGCTGTTTTGATCACTATGGCTTTGTAGTACATTTTGAAGTCAGGGATTGTGATGCCTCCAGCTTTATTCTTTTTTTCTCAGTATTTAGCAATTCGGAGTCTTTGGTTGCCCATATGAATTTTAGGATTCTTTGCTCTGTGTCCATGAAGAATGTCATTGGGATTCTGATTGAGATTGCATTGAATCTGTAGATTGCTTTGGGTAGTATGACGTTTTAACTATGTTTATTCTTTCAGTCCATGTGCATGGAATCTCTTTCCATCTCTTTATGTCATTATCTATTTCTTTCAATAATGTCGTAAAGTTTCCATTGTATAAGTCCTTCATCTCCTTAGTTAAATTTATTCCTAGTTACTTTATTATTTTTTTTTGCGATTGTAAATGGAATTATATTCTTGAGTTCTCTTTCTGTAAGTTATTAGAGTACAGAAATGCAACTGATTTTTCTAAGTTGCTTTTGTACCCTGCAACTTTACTGTAGTTGTTAATTATTTCTAATAGTTTTCCGATGGATTCTTTAGGGTTTTCTATATATAAGATCATGTCGTCTGCAAACAGTGAGAGTTTCACTTCTTCACTCCCTGTTTGGATTCCTTTTCTTCCTTTCTCTTGCCTAGTTGCTCTGGCCAAAACCTCCAGTACTCCGTTGAATAAGAGTGGCGATGGTGGGCATCCTTGTTTTGTTCCTGTTCTCAGAGGGATGACGTTCAGTTTTTCCCCATTGAGTATCATGTTGGCTGTGGGTTTGTCATATATGGCCTTTATTGTGTTGAGGTAATTTCCTTCTATCCCCATTTTGTTAAGTGTTTTTATCATAAATGGCGATTGGATCTTGTCAAATGCTTTCTCTGCATCTATTGAGATGATCATGTGGTTTTTATTCCTCATTTTTGTTAATGTGGTGTATCACATTGATTGATTTGTGGGTGTTGAACCATCCCTGTGTCCCTGGAATAAATCCCACTTCATCATGATATATGATCTTTTTGATGTATTGCTGTATTTGGGTTGCTAATATTTTGGTGAGGATTTTTGAATCTATGTTCATCAGCGATATTGGCCTGTAGTTTTCCCTTTTTTTGTTGTCCTTGTCAGGCTTTGGTATCAGAGTGATGTTGGCCTCGTAGAAATGTGTGAGGAAGTGTTCCATCTTCTCTGACTTTTTGGAATAGCTTGAGAAGGATGGGGATTAAATCCTCTCTGAAAGTTTGGTAGAATTCCCCAGGGAAGCTGTCTGGTCCTGGGCTTTTATTCTTTGGGATGCTTTTGATTACTGTTTCAATCTCTTTACTTGTGATTGGTCTATTCAGATTCTCTATTTCTTCTTGATTCAGCTTTGGGAGGTTGTAAGAGTCTGACAATTTATCCGTTTCCTCTAGATTGTCCATTTTGTTGGCATATAGTTTTTCGTAGTATTCTCTTATTATCCATTGTATTTCTGTGGTATCCATTGTTATTTCTCCTCTTTCATTTCTAATTTTATTTATCTGAGCTTTCTCTCTTTTTTTCTTTGTAAGTCTGGCTAGGGTTTGTCAATTTTAGTTATCTTCTCAAAGAACCAGCTCTTTGTTTCATTGATCCTTTCTACTGCCTTTTTTGTTTCAATAGCATTAATTTCTGCTCTGATTTTTATTATTTCTCTCCTTCTACTAACTTTGGGCTTTGTTTGTTCTTTTTCTAATTCTATTAGGTGTAGTTTGAGATTGCTTATTTGGGTTTTTCCTTGTTTGTTAAGGTAAGCCTGTATTGCAGTGAATTTCCCTCTTAATATGGCTTTTGCTGCGTCCCATATGAGTTGGTATGGTATATTTTCATTTTCATTTGTCTCCAGATATTTTTTGATTTCTCCTTTAATTTCTTCAATGATCCATTGCTCATTCAATAGCATGTTGTTTAGTCTCCATGTCTTTGTCCTTTTCTCAGCTCTTTTCTTGTAATTAATTTCTAGCTTTATAGCATTGTGATCGGAAAAGATGCTTCATATTATTTGTCTTCTTAAATTTATTGAGGTGTGCCTTGTTTCCCAACATGTGGTCTGTTCTTCAGAATGTTCCATGCACACTTGAGAAGAATATGTATTGTGCTATTTTTGGATGGAGTTTTCTATATATGTCTATTAAGTCCATCTGGTCTAGCTTTTCATTTAATTCCACTGTTTCCTTGTTGATTTTCTGCCTGGATGACCTATCCATTGATGTGAGTGGAATGTTGAGGTCCCCTGCTATTATTGGGTTATTATTAATATCTTCTTTTAGGTTTGTTAGTAGTTGCTTTATGTACTTTGGTGCTCCTCTGTTGGGTGCATAGATATTTATAAGTGTTATTTCTTCTTGATGGAATGTCCCTTTGATTATTATATACTGCCCCTCTTTGTCTCTCTTTACCTGTCTTGAAGTCTACTTTGTCTGATATAAGTATTGCAACAGCTGCTTTCTTTTGTTTGCCATTAGCTTGGAATATCATCTTCCATCCCTCACTCTGAACCTGTGTTTGTTTTTGGAGCTGAGATGTGTTTCCTGGGGGCAGCATATCGTTAGATCTTATTCTTTAATCCATCTCTCCACTCTTTGTCTTTTTATTGGAGAATTCAGTCCGTTTACATTTAGGGTGATTATCAATATATGAGGGCTTAATGCTGCCATTTTATCACTCGTTTTCTGTTCTCCTGCATTTCCTTTGTTATTTGCCCTGTGTATTTTGATCTACCAATTGAGTTATGTAGTTTTTTATGTTGTGTTTGTTTTCTTCTTATTTATTATTTATGTCTCTGTTCTGCTTTTTTGTTTAATGGTTACCCTGAGGTTTGTATTCAAGATCTCGTGGATAAGATAGTCCCTTTTCTGATGGTCTCTAATTTCCTTAGACTAAACCAATTCAGTCCCTTTCCTCTTCCCTTCCTAAGTTGTTTTTCTCACATCTTATTCCATCTTGTGTTATGAGTTTGTGGTTAACATGACAAGATTATCTTTGTTTTTGGTGTTTTCCTTACTGTTGTCTTTAATGCTATACTTGAGTATTTGCTATCCTGCTCTGATTCTATCTATTTAACTCCTTACTCGGTGCTTTGTAACCCTTTTCTCCCTTTTTTTTCCCGGTATGAGGGCCTTCTTGAGGATTTCTTGTTGTGGGGGTTGGGGGTGTGTCTCATGGCTACAAACTCCCTTAGCTTATGTTTGTCTGGGAAAGTTTTTATTTCTCTATCATATCTGAAGGATATTTTCACTGGATAGAGTATTCTTGGCTGAAAGTTTTTGTCTTTCAATGATTTGAATATGTCATTCTAGCCTCTCCTAGCCTGTAAGGTTTCTGCAGAGAAATCTGCTGAAAGTCTGATGGGGGTTCCTTTGTAGGTTATTTTCTTCTGCCTTGCTGCCCTTAGTATTCTTTTTCTGTCATTCAGTTTTGCCAGTTTTACCACTATATGCCTTGCAGTAGGTCTTTTTACATTGACATATTTGGGAAATCTGCCATCCTCTTCCACATGGATTTTCTTTCCTACATTTGGGAAGTTCTGTGCTGTTATTTCTTTGAACAAGCTTTCTACTCCATTTTCCTTCTCTTCTCCCTCTGGAATACCTATGATTCTAATGTTGCATTTCCTAATTGAGTTGGATATTTCTTGGGGACTTTCTTCGTTTAGTCTTAGTTCTCTCTCTTCCTCTATCTGGAGCATTTCAACATGTCTATCTTTGATTATGCTGATACGCTCCTCCAGGGTGTCTGCTCAAGCATTCAGGGAATCCATATTTTGTTTTATTTCTTCCATTGTGTCTTTCATCTCTAATATTTCTGCTTGATTCTTCTTTATAGTTTCAATCTCTTTTGTGAAGTAGCTCCTGAACTCGTTGAATTGTTTCTCAATATTCTCTTTTACCTTGTTGAGTTTTTTGATGACAACTGTTTTGAATTCTTTGTCATTTAGATTACATATTTCTGCATCTTCAGGACTGATTTCTGGGTACTTGTCATTTTCTTTCTGGCCTGGAGATCTAATATAGTGTTTGATATTGCTAGAGGTTCTGTTTTTTTTCATCCTGGCATTACTAGGTTGCAGGTACCACCTATTGCCACTGGGTGCAGGTCAAGACCCCTATATTCTGAGTCCTCTGCCTTCTTCCAAAATCCCAGGGGCTGGAGTCCCCAGTGGGCGGGTGGTGGAAGGGGCTCTTTCTCCTGCGTGCTCTCAGGGCTTTCTCGCTCTGCTTTCCTGGGGTGTTGGCTTGATGAGGTGTCCCATCCACCCACCCCGTGAAAGCTTTTGCCCTGGTAGAGGACTTCCCTCTAGGCTGCAAGGGCCTACTGGGGATCTTTGATGTTCTCGTGAATGACCGTCCCCTGTCCCATTCCTTCCCTCTCGCAGGCCTCCAGTAGTCCTGGATTGCAGTCTTTAGGGGAGGAAGAAAAGATTTCTCTTACCCCGTTCCACCTCCAAGGGGGCTCTAGTCTCTCTGCCCTCTGTCATATGGCTGTGTGGACCTCTCTGACGTTTTTTGTGTTGAGTTTGGATGTTGTCTGTTGGAGTATGGATGTTTTTTTCATTGTATGTTGGAGGAGAAAGATTTCTGAGAGACCTACTCTGCCATGATGCTGACGTCACTCCCTCTTTTTATAAGTAAAAACTTTTTGGAACACAGCCATTCTCACTCCTTTATGTATTGTCTGTGGCTGCTTTCATGCTGCAATGGCAGAGTTGAACAAAGGCCATATGCCCCAGAAGCCTAAATTGTTTATTGTCTAGGTCTTTCACAGGAGAAGTTTGCTAACTGCTAGTTCAAGTATTAGTTTAAGCATCACTTACACAAGCTTGGTGCTTTCATCATCAAAAATGTTTTATCCCACTCATATAATTTCCCTATTTGACTAAAAGCTTTTTGAAAGCAGAGGCCATGTCAGTCTTGCTCGCTTATATTCCCAGCTCTTAATTCCTAATGTATATTAGGCATTCACAAAAATCCAAATATTTGGATGTATGAATAAAAGTAGCTTTATGAGCATTTCATTCGATGAAAATTCCCAAACCATTAATTTAATGTCTTTTAATAGTTTAATTTTTTTCTTAAATATAAACTTTGTTTTTTAGAGGTAAACAAGAAATTGAAAATTTGAAGGAAGAAGTGGAAAGTCTTAATTCTTTGATTAATGACCTACAAAAAGACATCGAAGGCAGTAGGAAAAGAGAATCTGAGCTACTACTATTTACAGAAAAGCTCACTAGTAAGAATGCACAACTTCAATCTGAATCCAATTCTTTGCAGTCACAGTTTGATAAACTTTCCTGTAGTGAAAGTCAGTTACAAAGCCAGTGTGAACAAATGAAACAGACAAATATTAATTTGGTAAGTATAAATGTACATTTAACTTTTAAAGCAATATAGCAAGAAGTGCAAATTAAATTTCCCTAGTGGTAGTTGACTGAAGCTTTTTTTTTTTTATTGGCACTAACTTTCTGGTAATTTCAAATGCTGTAAGAAGTATCAGTTTTTCCTTTCAATTTGTGCAATTCCTTATAAAATTTCTCCCTACAATGATTATGAAGTAGTATTTCACATTTGAAAATAAGAAAAGCAGGGTTTTTGTCATTCCTAACTGGAATTACTATATATTTTTTTAAAGTACTTTAAATTTCTTTTTTTTTTTTATTTTATTTTATTTTATTTTTTCCTTTTTCTCCCCAAAGCCCCCCAGTACATAGTTGTATATTTCTCGTTGTGGGTTCTTCTACTTGTGGTATGTGGGACGCTGCCTCAGCGTGGTCTGATGAGCAGTGCCATGTCCGCGCCCAGGATTCGAACCAACGAAACACTGGGACGCCTGCAGCGGAGCGCGCGAACTTAACCACTCGGCCACGGGGCCAGCCCCTAAAGTACTTTAAATTTCTATATTTTTATAGTTTAAATATGGTTTATTATTTCCATGTTATGAGAGTGTCTTCAAGTTACTTATAAAAATAATTTGAGACTTTAGTCCAAAAAATACAGAGACCTCTATCACATGTTGTTTTGCATATATAGAATGGCAAATGCATTAATATATCCCCCTGCATTACTATATGAGGAATTTGCAGAGCCCAGTAAACAAAACCTGGTAAGGAGTGATGATAGAAGAATCTACTATCAAGGACCTTATATATTTTTTTGATAAGGAAACTACTTTTTTTTTTTTCTGGGAAAGATTTGCTCTGAGCTAACATCTGTTGCAAATCTTCCTCTCTTTTTCTCCCCTCCTCCCAAAGCCCCAGTACACAGTTGTATATTCTGGTTGTAAATCCTTCTAGTTCTTCTACGTGAGCTGCCACCACAGCATGGCTACTAACAGACGAGTGGTGTGGTTCCACGCCTGGGAACCGAACCCAGGCCGCTGAAGTGGAGCGCGCCAAACTTTAACCACTAGGCTATCAAGGCTGTCTTGAGGGACTTTGTAGTTTTAAGGTTTTAAACTGTGAGCAATAGTGGAAACAGTCAGTTATTAAAATTGGTGTTTTTTATTTTATTTAATATTTAGGAAAGTAGATTGTTGAAAGAGGAAGAACTGCGAAAAGAGGAAGTCCAGACCCTGCAAGCTGAACTCACTTGTAGACAAACAGAAGTTAAAGCATTGAGTACCCAGGTTGAAGAATTGAAAGATGAGCTGGTGACGCAGAGACGTAAACATGCCTCTAGTGTCAAGGATCTCACCAAACAGCTCCAGCAAGGTGCACAATCCTTCCACATGTAGACCTTCCGTGTTGTTTCTTATAATCATTAAGGATTTATTGAAAAAAATATGTTTACATCAGGTTCTACCACATTGATGAGAGCTGTATGCTCTTTTTAATGTGTTAGTGTTTATAACCCACATTGCTAAATTTCTTGTGGTTCCATGAATAGTCTATAGTATCTTCTATGCTAAAGGACATTTATTGACAGAAGCACAAGCTGTAAGAATTGGCAAGTACCTTAGCACAGTACTGTCTAAGGTTTTTTGTTTTTTTTTTTTTTAAAGATTTTATTTTTTCCTTTTTCTCCCCAAAGCCCCCCGGTACATAGTTGTATATTCTTCGTTGTGGGTCCTTCTAGTTGCGGCATGTGAGACGCTGCCTCAGCGTGGTCTGACGAGCAGTGCCATGTCCGCGCCCAGGATTCGAACCGACGAAACACTGGGCCGCCTGCAGCGGAGCGCGCGAACTTAACCACTCGGCCACGGGGCCAGCCCCCTGTCTAAGGTTTTTTGATCACCTACTTCTATCAGTAAAAACTAAGCATTGTTCTTTAATTTATATATATTTATAAATTTTAAACATCTGTTACTCTGTTTTCTGTACATTAGAAAACACATGAAAATAGAAATTAAAAAAAATCTAGTTAAATCTAAGTGTAAATAGAAATTCTATTTTCTGCCTATACATGTCTGTCAGTTTTGTGCAGTATCTACAGTACCTGAACCCCTCCTTCTAGACCTCTAACTTAGAGATCTTTAAACCCTAACACTTCATTTTATAGGAAACTGAGTCCTAGAAAGGTTATAAATTACCAGAACACAATCATTAACAGCTAGAACTGGAACCCACATTTCATTCATTTAAAAATTCATACAATTATTGGGAGTCTGTGCTATGTGCTTGGATACAAAGATAAATAAGATATGTATTCTGACTTCCTATCCTCTACTCTTCCCCATTGGTTTATGTGTATTAAAGTAGGGTGAAATGTAGTAATAAGATAAAAGAGACTTAGCATTTATTTAATAGGAGTATATTCAGATGTTTACCATAAGATTTCAGTTTGTTTTGATAGATGTGATTGAAGGGAAATTTCTGGTACTCTATAGAGATCTACTAAATCTTTCAGTACTCCAAAAGTTATGTTCACTGTACCTAAATGATACCAGTATCGGTTGTTATCATAATGTTTTTTCTATATCTTTTGTATTTGACCTGCACATTTCTAGATGTCATTTTTATATGAGTGACACCTACAGTTATCCTGTCTAAAGTGTGTATTCCAGAAATTTCTTGTTGTTTATGCCATTTTGGCCTAAGTGATTTTTAGCATTTAAGATCAGAGACAGTGGGGGCAAATGGTCATGATAATTGTCACAAGTAATCTATTTCTTGTCCCTATAGCACGAAGAAAATTAGATCAGGTTGAGAATGGAAACTATGATAAAGAAGTCAGCAGCATGGGAAGTCGTTCTAGTTCATCAGGTAAAATCTAATGGTTTTAGTTATTTAGTGATTGATTTTAAAAAGAAATAGCACTGTTTAAGAAGTATTGATATGCTTTTTCTTTCATTTTGAATTCTAAAAAGTGGTAGTTGTACATAATTATATGGTAAGAATATTTCCAGTTAAATGTTTAAGTTCTAATCATTACCCAAGGTTTCAGGGTTGTCGGGGGGTTCTGTATCATTTTTTTCCTACTTCCTTTTTTCTTCCCTGCTGCTTCTGTATTCTGTGCAGCAGTTTCCTCTTCCAGTTTTTGTTTTTCTTTTTGAAGAAGATTGGCCCTGAGCTAACATCTGTGCCCATCTTCCTCTACTTTACGTGTGGGACACCTGCCACAGCGTGGCTTGATAAGTGATGTATAGGTCCACACCTGGGATCCATACTGGCGAACCCTGGGCCACCAAAGTGGAGTGCACAAACTTAACCCCCATGCCACTGGGCCAGCCCCTCCCCTTACATTTTTTAATTCAGATTTGTATTCATCCATATAGAGAGATTTAGTGTAGTGTGGTCTCTCTCTCTTTTATTTTACTTTTATGTTACTTTTAGCACCTGAGAACTAATGAAATTTTCATCATTATATATCAGATTTCTTATATATACACATGTATTTTTTAATCTTTTAGCTTTTATCATGGTAAATATGCCTATGATCTAAAGTAAAAATGATTAGATCTATAAAATGATTGATAGCATTGTGAAAATGATAATTAGCAAAGTATCAGTGTATTTATCATTTTGGGAATGCCATGAATCATGCTGAATGCTTTAAACATATCATTTACTCTGCCAAATAGTCATGTGAGGTAAGTATTATAATTCCCATTTCACAGATGAGGAAACTAAGATTTGAAGTGGTTCCATGACTTGCTCAAACTCCACAGTGACAGAAATCTCAGACTCTAGAGTCCTTGCATGCCACTCACTACACTGCCTCCCAGGAATTGTGCATTAGGGGAGAAATGTCATCAACTGTTACAATACTGGGAAAAATGTGTAGTAGAAAGAAATGGGTTTGAAATTACACATAAGTATTTAGATTCCAGCTCTGCCATTTATTAGTGTATGACCTTGGATAAGATATATTACTTGTAGATTTAATCCTCAAAATGGGGTTGAAACAAACTATATCTTTGTATCAGAAATTCTTCTCAACTGATGTTGGTAAAAATAATAGCTAACATTTATTGCTTATTATATGCATTGTTGTAAGCACTTCACATATATTAACTCATTTAAATGAGGACAACAATCGTCTGAGGTAAATAACATTATTACCATTTTCAGATGAAGTGGTCAAGGCACAGAGAGTTCAGTAACTTGCCCAAAGTCACACAGCTAGAAAGGGAAGGAGTGGGATTTAAACCAGGGAGACTGGCTCCAGAGCTTAACCCACTGGCTGTATTCTGTTTTCTCTCTCTGTCTATGTCTGTCTGTCTGTCTCTGCCTCTCTCTATCTCTCTCTCTCGGCTTAATTTTGGTCCTACTTCAGACTTTTTATTCTGACTTTTTCTTGAGTTTCTTGTTTCTCTGTTGCCACTTCCTCATCCTGTTCACGAGAGACATAATAGACCCTTTTGGTACTTCTGTCATCAGTATATTCAGAAACAAGAAGTCAGTCCAGGTGTGACTTGTGTTCCGTGCCCAACTCTGTTAGATGGAATATTTGAAAGTGATACTCGAAGAAATAATATATGAGATTAGCGATGACTCTAGACTAAGTCCAATACCTAAACTGGTTTTTTGTCTTCAGGATCCCTTAATGCTCGAAGCAGTGTGGAAGATCGATCTCCAGAAAATGCTGGGTCGTCAGTAGCTGTGGATAACTTTCCAGAAGTAGACAAGGCCATGCTGATTGAGAGGATAGTAAGGCTGCAAAAATCACACGCTCGGAAAAATGAAAAGATAGAATTTATGGAGGATCACATCAAACAATTGGTGGAAGAAATTAGGAAAAAAACAAAGTATGTATTATTATGGTAACATAATCTGTGTTTGAAATACCGTTATTCATATGGTAAAGTTACTGTTTTCAAAATTAATCATATCAAGAGCCTGTCATTCAGTTCCCAATCTTTTGTTGATCACTTATTGTGTTCTGGTTTGGGGAATACAGAGCCCAGAGATGAAAGAAAACACTGGTCTTCCAAAAGGTGATACAGAGTTCAGTAGATGTTAATTTTTTTAAGATACTAAAATAACTTTGGACTTAAAAAAAGATAGTGCTGCTTAGCTTTTTATTTTTGTGACAGTGATTCTAAGAGATGCATGTGGTTGTGTATTATCTTTCCTGTTGTGTAGGACATAGTGAGGTAATTTATTGGGCACCTACTCAGTACAAGGCACTGTGCCTGTGACTTACGAATATCTCATTGATTTCTTACAACTACTCAGGGAGAGAGCGAGTTCTCACTTTGGTGGATAAGTTAACTGGGGCTCAGGTTAAGTTATGAAATGTTCCGGAGTCCACTCATCGTGTAAGTGACAGACCACCCAGCTCTGACTGACTCCAAGTTCCTCTTACAAATACCATGTTCATTTAAGAGTTTTTTTTTAATATTACAGGTCTTTCCTCATGACTTCTTAATTTTTATTTTGAAATAATTTTAGGGGCCGGCCCTGTGGCCAAGTGGTTAAGTTCTTGTGCTCCACTGTGGCAGCCCAGGGTTTCACCGGTTCGGATCCTGGGCGCAGACATGGCGCCGCTCATCAGGCCACGCTTAGGCAGCGTCCCAAGTGCCACAACTAGAAGCACCCATAACTAAAATATACAACTGTGTACTGGGGAGATTTGGGGAGAAAAAAAAAAAAGATTGGCAAAAGTTGTTGGCTCAGGTGGCAATCTTTAAAAAAGAAAAAAGAATTTTAGACTTAGAGAAAAATTTGCCCATGACTTTAAAAAAAAAAAAAGAGTAAAATACGGTTCTAAGTTTAGTAACAGGAAAATAGAAAATATTAACTGAAATCGGAGCAATAAAGAAATTTCCCAAATGTTTTGATTAAAGTAACAGGGAGGGGCCAGCCCTGCTGGTCCAGTGGTTAAGTTCAGTGTGGTCTGCTTTGGCTGCCCAGGTTCTGTCCCCAGGCACAGACTTATACCACTCGTATGTCAGTGGCCATGCCATGGTGGCGGCTCACATATTAAAAAAAAGAGGGGAAATCGTCCTTAGCAAAAAAAATAATAAGGAAAGAAATAGAAAAGCAATGTTTATATGTTTTTAATCTAAATACCATGTTAGAACAAAAATGGGATCATTTAAGAAACCATCTGAATAAGGAAAATTCCTTTATTTTCTAATATAGTTCTGTTATTAACCTAATAAGTATTTGTTTTATGCTAATCATCTTTAAGCGAGCCCTGGCAGTCTAGTGGTTAAGATTGAGTGCTCTCACTGCTGTGGCCCGGGTTCTTTTCCCAGTCAGGGAACCACACCGCTCATCTGTCAGCCATCATACTGTGGCAGCTGCATTTTGCTGTGTTGCTGAGAGTTGTTACCAATATCTCAAATCCCAGCAGGGTCGCCCATGGTGGACAGGTTTCAGCAGAGCTTCCAGACTAGACAGACTAGGAGGAAGGACCTGGCCACCCACTTCTGAAAAATGGCCATGAAAACCCTACGAACAGCAGCAGAGCATTGTCTTATACAGTGCTGGAAGGTGAGAGGATGGCGCAGAAAGACCAGGCAGTGTTCTACTCTGCTGTCCACAGGAACACTGGGGGTCAGAATTGACTTGATGGCACTGACAACAAAATCAGCTTTATGCTTATGATTAGTTGACCCTTGCAGACTCCAATGTTTTTAATTCTGGAGGTGTATAACTGATAGTGTCATTTTATTTTGCAGAATAATTCAAAGTTATATTTTACGAGAAGAATCAGGCACGCTTTCTTCAGAGGCATCTGATTTTAACAAAGTCCATTTAAGTAGACGGGGGGGCATCATGGCTTCTTTATATACATCCCATCCAGCTGACAGCGGATTAACATTGGAACTCTCCTTGGAGATCAACCGAAAATTACAGGCTGTTTTGGAGGATACATTACTGAAAAATATTACTTTGAAGGTATTTTTATTTCTCATTCATCTACCAACTAATAAACACGGTACAATGGTGCCTTTTTCATAGTTTGATCTAGCGTGTAGATGGACTGTTTCTTTAATGCAAAGTAGCCATTTTACCCAGAGATAATGTTTTTGTCTTTTTCCCGTTTGAAAAGTACAATTTTTTAAACTAGCAAGGAAAGAAAGAAATAGAGAAAAAAATCAGCTTAGCTATTGGATAGACACTAAGATGGGTCATTCACTTTGCAATGGGTGACCTTTGACATATTATAATTAGTTATAATTGATCACTGAGACATTTTTTAACATAGAGGCATTTATTTTCTAATGTATTTTCCATGTTTATTTTATTTTTTGCATCTATTATCTGACCCAACTATTCTCTGTGTTGTGTTGGGCCTTGATAGTTAGTATGGGATTTAAAAAATAATTTTTTAAATCTAGGAAGCAGTAATTTTGTGCACTAAAATTTGTTGTATTTTCAGTAAAAAGATTGTCTGACTCTGAAATATGCAGGACTACTTTACTGAAAACAACTCTGCCTAATTGATCACATAGCATTTAAGGCTCAGCATCCTTTCAGTTTCAAAATTTAGGCAAAAATAGTTCAAACTGAATCTTTTTACCTATTATACTCAGTAGTTCTGTTTTCTTTTCCCCATTTTTCCAACTGGTAAAGGAAAATCTGCAGACACTTGGAACAGAAATAGAACGTCTTATTAAACACCAGCATGAACTAGAACAAAGGCCGAAGAAAACCTAATACAAAGCTCTTGCTCAGTACGCCACGCGAGGAACAGGTGCCACTCCCCAGGATCTGGGAAACTTTCCCCTGCATTTTGTGTCAGCCAGTAAAAAACTTGTTTCGCTTTATCTGTATAAGAAAGTATCCTTTTACAATACAAATGCATTGCCGTATGTGCTCTAAGAGTGTAAGCTTTGAGGAAGTTTGTTTTTGTATGGTGACAGCCTGTCATGGGATCGGAACAACTTAATGTAACTTATTAACAGTCATACAAAGTGCTGAATGTTACTACAAGGGCTTTTGAAAACTCCTTCTCCATATTTCTTCCCTTTAAAATACAGAATGTCAAAAATGGTTCAGCTTTTTAAAGTTATCCATGAAAGAACAGGTGTTAATCATTCAGAAAAATACTATTTCTCCAACGTGAAGGAAACTAAAGAAATGATGAGAATCTTTGTTATGACGTCCAGTGTAACCTTTGGTTGTGCTTTAGAGCTGCTGGTGAGGCCTTCAATCTTTCCATTTCAGTGGGAGCTCACGGGAAAGCTGGCTCCTGGTAACTGACAGTGTTCAGGCGTTGTGTGCCTCTGTCAGGTTTCCTTATCTGTGCTAGGTACGTTTTTTCAGATTCGAATTATTTGAGTTAACTAGTTTTTCTAATCTTCGGTTACATAAAATATGATTTTAAATAACATGCTCCTTTAGAAAATTCCTGTGGACTTCAGTTATATTTTAAAATGTGAAATGGATTAGTCATTAGAACAGAGAGATGAATAGTGAATTTTGAAACTGAAATACTTTAGATTTACTGACATCAAGTATAAAGATAAATGTTTAAGATATTTTTAAAGAACCAGTTCCCAAGAGAATGCAGCATATGGCACTGTTCACCGTTTCATTTAAGCACCATTCTTTACCATTGATACAATTGTATATTATAGTGAAGTGATCTTATCCCCAAATATGGTATGTTTCAGTATATTTATTTAAAACAAAATAATTGCATCTTTGTAACCAAAGAAATTTTAGAGCCAAACCTTATGTATCCTGTTGGATTTTTACAATTTTTATTTAAGATGTGCACTTAAACGTTGCCATAGTATTAGTATTTCTGTCATTGACTTTTTTTCTCGCCTCTTATAATTTCTCACATGTTCTGATTTCTCTGTGTGGTTTTCACATTTCACCATATTCAGATCATTTCTATAATAGGATACCTTGGCTCATATGCAGATGTTGCAGCAAGCTTCATTTCTGTTTTGGATTTTCGCATCCTTTTTTATCCCTTAAGAGAAGTAAGCTTTGGGGGTGATGGATTAAAAGCCTTTAAAGAATTGTATGACTCTCAAAGTTGGGCCTGTAGTGGCACTGGCCCTTTAATGTATTTTAACATTTTTTGGTCAATTTAACATTGTTTAAAAAGATTATTTACTAAGGATTAGATGATTCAATATAGTGTCTTATTTTTTCTGTATATTGAGTTATATGTTGTCATCCAAAAACACAATCTTTTCACTTCAAAATGGAAATATAAATTCAAAAAGTTCTATTTTTAAAATAGCTGTAGAAAGTATTAGTCTTGCTGTAATGTTCTTTTTACCAGTAATTTATCAAAATAAAGAAAATAAGAGGGTAAGTGCAATCAAATCTGAATTATTTCCCCATTTGTTTCTAGACATACTGTTGTACTCCGAAAAACTACTTCAAGTCGCCCTGACTAAATTTTTACAGCTTCTTGTGTGATACAGATTCATAGACTAAAATACTTGTTTTTTTCCTCCAAGACACAAAATGTATTAGTGGAAACCAAATAATGATTAGATCCATAGTGTCCTATGTCTGTACACTTTTAAAAAATATATACATTTATTACATACAAAAATGAAATTCCAGTATTAAACATTTGTGCCACCAATCATTTGGAGTTTAATGGTGAAACAATTTTAGAAGAAAGCTATTATAAATCGTATTTTGACTTGTTACTTTTTTCCCCCATAAATGTAAGAAACTATGGAAAACTTTTGAAGAAAATGCTTGTTTTCCTTTTGTTCTTCAGTTTCTCCTGTACCCTTTAGTGTGGGGGTCAGGACAGAGCAAAGTAATGCACCAAAATGTGCGCACATCAGATCTCTGTCTCTGTCCCGACGCACAGACAGCTCCTCGTGTGAGGGTTCAGAGGGCCTTCTCCTCTCACTGTGTTGAATACATGGGGAGAAGATTGGGGTGTCCGGAAAAGGAAAATGGTCTGGATAAACCTGAGATGTTGGGGAAAATGTGTCTTATATATTCATTATTATTTGTACACATCAAAGGGTGTTTTGGTTTCTTAGCACTATTTTGATTTCTTTGAGCAGGAAATGACTTTTATGTGTATGTATATGTATGCATACACTTTACCAGGTTTTAATTTTAAAGTGAATACTTACTGTGACTCCCTTTTTCCCATACCACTTCAAACTTTAGCTTAAGTTTTAAGGATTGAAAGTGTTGGGTTTGGGCAGAACAACGAGTTTGAACTTTCATGTTTTATTATTTTTTTTCTATCTTCATAATCATTTAAAATGATTTATCTTAAAATTAAATTTTATTAAGCTACCAACATGTTATTTATTCATTTAATAAACACATTTATTGAAAACCTACTATTGCCAGGAACCATACAGGGTATTGTGATGATATGTGAACAGAGCAGGCAGGGCAGTTCCTGTCCTCACAGAGCTTGTGGTCTTGTGAAGATAAATAGGAGACAGTAGGAGCAGCTCTGTGAGCCTCTGCTGCTCACAGCCAGCCCCTGTGGGAGAGTTAATCCACTTGTGCAAGTAGGTGGCCCCAGGTCTCACTCTGAGGTGTAGCTTCGGGAACTGAGTCCTTCCTGAGGTACACTGAGAGCAGATTGCTGTTTTCATGACGGTTCTGCACATTCTTAACTTTTGTCACAGTTTGATGTTTAATTATTCTTTAAGAAAAAGGAAAGAAAATCCAAAGATGATAAAATGGCATCTGAGTTTTGCCATTTTACTAAATTATTAATGCCTACTTTCTGCTCATAAAAATTAATCTAATCATGTTGTCATGTGTGTTTCCAAACTTTGTTTTGCAGTATATTATTTTCTAAAGATTTTTCCATATAATTTAGACCAAGATTTATCGGTAGAAGAAAAAAACATTAGAAACCATTAATTTTATAAATATTATATATGCTACCCTGGTGGAAATATTTTTATTCATCATGTTGTTATTCAGTGTGATTAATTTGCCTTATGAATGTTGACTCCGGTAGCCTATTTTCAATAACCTTTTTTTAAAACAAAACAATTCTTTTTTGACACTAAGATTGTTAATTTTTAACACCAGTCAGTGGAACTAAAAACCTGAAGCTTTTCAAGACTGAACAAGAGAAAATAATCGAAAAAATATCAAAACATTATGAATTTTCAGGAAAATAAATGAAAAACATAACTGTATATTAAAGATGTATTTTTCTTCTGGAGTGGAATCCTTTTCTAAAATGCATATGGCTGTCCATTTTGACTACAATGATGAAACTTGCTTATCTTCCAAAGTTCATATATATATACACATATGTGTGTACTGTACAGATAATCTTTAATTTTATCACACTGTTCATTTTGTAAATATATTTCTGTATAAAATGAAGCTTTTCAAGAGAATTCTATGTATATATTGTACTTATTAAATAGGTAATGCCTGTTTACCAAGTTGTATTTTAATGGCATCTTTGATTATTTATTTACGTACACTACTTGCTAAACAGACTGATTCTCCAGACTGTTGGCAAGGCTGATTCAAATCACTTGAATTTTCTTTTTTAAACCAGACTAGGAGTTTTTGCTTTCCATGTTTGTCTTTATTCTACCAATTATCATTAGAAGTCAATGAACAATAGTAAGCAGATTAAATTGAATGCCAGGTTGTTTTAAATTTTTGTTTAAATTGGTGGTAGCAAAATTTGGCCTTTTACAAAAGGCAAGCTTTTATATGCCTCTGTGAAAATTTCTCATTGAACTTGATGAGCCACTAATATATTCATATTTTCCACAAAACTATGGAACTTATTTGCCCAAATTATCTGGCCTTCAGAATAAAGATCTAATATGTTCAATCAAAGGATATTGAAATGGCATTAATTTCATGAAGTTGATTGTGTGATGGATATTTCACAACGCAGTGTGTTGTTTTCCATTTCTCAAACAGTTCTGGAACACCAATTATGCCACATAACTTAGTGAGTTCACTGTTGGAAAGAATCCCCTGAAGTCAGGAGCCTTGGAGTAAGGGTAAAATTAATAGACTAGTGGAAGCTTTCCTGACATCCTTAATAGTCTGCTTTCGGTAGCCTGTGGATTTGTTTGCTGGAGAAAGGAATATACATGGGAAGAGGATGAGTAGGGAAAAGAGATACTGGCTTGAGATTCGTAACTGGTTAGTGTGACCCGCAGTCATGAGATCGGAAAGACTGTTCCAGTGAACTTACATTCAAATCTGTTTTTTCTAATAAAGTCTGCTGTAATCAGTGAATGTGGAACGAGAACACACTTCTTCAGGACCAGCAACTTGGGAGGATGCTTCTGGCCGATCAGTGCTAATGCCGTTTTACTGATTCCCTCTGAGAACAGTGTGACCAGGCTTGATGTTCCTGCTCCTGCAGTAGACATGCACTATTAATTCCTAAGTTACGTTTAAGAGACTTGATTCTTATTTTTTAAGAGAAGCGTACATTTAAGAAGTATTCTATTTCTGAGGAATTTTCAGCCTTTTTTTTGATTGCCCAAAGGCCATGCTTTTTGCCAGTCAGACTGCCCCAAATTGCACTCAAAAAAGGGGATAGATGTTAGATTCAAGAGAGGAATCTATACCATTTAACTCAGTGCAAAGATAGTTCTATTAAAAGTTTAGGATCCACTGAAATAAAAAAGTTAAGCTTACTGATAGTCAACTGCTAGTTAGATTAATTTGGGAAATACATTAAGTGCTAGAATGGCTTTCCACACCATCCATTTCACTGTGTAGTTTTGTTTGATTTTAATCACTGAAGGCCCAGGGGCAGGAAGTGGTGTGTGTATGTGTTTTCAGCACGCTCCCACTTTGCTTGTGTCAGGAAATGTCAGTTAAACCTGCCACACTACCTGATGTTTCTTAGGCAAGTTCTTCTTTATGAACTCTGACTAGGGAAGACACCCCCAAATGCCTGCTACCCCTGCTGCCCTTGCTCAAGCTGTGTTTCCGTCCACCTACATGGGAGAAACACTTTTGAGTGTCTGTTCTGCGTCCACTGGAGCCCCCATAGCTCCCATCTCTTCAAAGAACTAGGTCCCTAGGAGTGCGTGCTGAAAGAGGATGCTGCATTGGGCTCTGAAGCAGCCTCTTCCTGGATTGTGTTTCATTTGTGTGTTAATTTGGGATGAGGGTGGAGGGATTGGAGGGAGACCCTGCAGAGACTAGCAGGGCGGGAAGGGTTCCTGGTGTTTTAATTGGACTTCAGAACTGACTTTCTTCTGGAACTCCTACTTTAAATAGTGGGTACTTAAGTCTAGTCAAAATCTGTGGGAGTAAAAGCCTTTATGTGCTTGCCTGAAACATTGATTACTCTCTTCCTTTACTTTTATGTGGTTAAATGCCTTCTAAGCTCCAAGGCATCAATTTTCAAAAAAAGGTTGAAGCAGAGGCCTGGAGGCACAGGTTTGTGGTTACTGATGTTCACGTGCTCAAGTTCAAGGTGCCTTCTGAGAACCTGGATGAGCCAAGCCTACCATCTCACGAAGGTGTTCTGCGTTTTTAAGTAGTTAATACTAGTAACTTGTGTGTCAGAGCCCAAGCGTAAAGCACAAATGTCACTGATGATTTTAAGAATCACACTCTGCCTACAGGTACGATGTAGTTCCCATTTCAGCAACAACTTGGGCAGAAGAAAATCTTTCCCTTTGTCTCTACTGCCCCCTCCCTGGCCCTTACAGACACACACTCACACACACCCACACACACACCCACCAGACATACACCCAGAACAATGACCAGAACACTTTACCTGCCCAGAGTTGGTTTGGCTGTCTCTGGGTTTCCAACCTTCATTAATTCCTTCATCATCCTGCTTATTAGATGGGCTTTTATTTACCAGATTGGTCAAGTGAGGAAGAGATGAAAGGGAAAAGAGGTAAGTTCGGCAAGATTCCTTGTTACATTTGTCAAATTCCGATTTCGATAGTGACAGTGCTCCATCTCATGGGCTTGCCTATGCTGTGGACTATGTGCCACAGGAAGCAGGACTGATGTCACGTGGCTATTTATGTCCCATGGTGATTCCTGCTGTCACTTTGTACCTTTTTGTAATTATAAGTCAAACTGGAGATGTACCAGCTTAACATATGTGTTGTTAGGTATTCTTTTAAACGGGGGGGGGGGGGGGGGGGCGTTCTGGAGAGTTAAACACTGAAGTCCTAGCAGAAGTGACCTTCTGTGGATGCGTGTTGGGGGTTGGGGTGGGGGTGCAGGGAATTTTGTGGAGTGGTTAGAGGGCTGTTCCAGTTTTTAAAGAATATATTCATGTATTATGTAATTTGAAGTTGACTTCTATGAAAGTTAAAAAAGCCATAGATGCTCAATAAGAGATAAATAAGTGGCACGGGTGTTGTAGTCTGTGGAAATGAGAAGCAGAGACCTTGCCAGTTTTTTGGGGGGTGGAGGAGGATGAGGAACAAGTTGAGGTAGAGGTGAAGTCTGCAGTGGTGGGTATTTTAGCTCGAGGGCCATAGTTCTCACTTCCTGGTACAGCTGTCTACATGACCCATCCCACAATGCAGTCAAAAGGCGCTCGGAGTGGTTCTGGACACTTGTTCTCAGCATAAGAAAAGTAGCTTCGTATATGGACACAGTTGGCCCTCCAAGGTGCTCTTATGTGTTTTAGGAGTTTACCCAATGGTATATTTACTTAGAAAGCAAAGTAGCATTCAGGAGCTATTCTGGTCAGAAACAGAGCAAATACAGTGTACTGTATTGCTTTTGTATTTTAAGAATGTTTGTTTTCCCTTTGAAATGATAAGGAACACAATTGAATTAAATGACAAACACATCAAGGCAGGGACGGGGAACAAATGCTCAGGGACTGCTTTGAGTGAGGCTCAGACAGCCCTGAGGTGGGAAACAGGCCAAACTGATTCCCAGGACTTTCCTGCGAGGGATCTGTTGAGCGGGAATTTGAACCCAGGCTGGGGGTGCCTTTCACTATCTTCTGCTTCCTCCCAAAAGCCAAAGTTGTAATACCTTAGTGAGTGGGTTAAAGTCATATTTAGATTCTTTTTCCTTGCACTGACATGGTTTAAACAAAAGACTGATGATCTGTCAGTTAAAAGAAGATGGGCATGTGACATGTGTGATTAAACAGACTCTAAGCTGGAGACTTGGTGCCTCTCTTTTCTTCCTCTTTCTGATCGTCTTTTGAGTAAGCTCATCCTCTAACTGCAATCAGAGAAGAACAGAAATAAAATCAGTCATTTTGTTCCCTCTTAAGCTCAGTAACGGTTCGGTGGGGGAGTCACAGTTGATAGATGATGTTATGATTTTCTTGACAGTCTGGGTAATAAATAGGTGTTCAGTAAGTTTCTGAATTACCTACGGGTATGCCTTTCCTTGCTGCCCTGTTGGTAACTGTAACAGGGCCTCCCTTTCCTGCCCCATCTCCATCTAAGGCCACCAGAGAACGCTGAGGGCTGTAAAGTACTCTGGACCTGGACTGGGACCACCCCGGCCCACCACTGATTGTGAAACCTTAGACACGTCACTTTGCCTCTTCGAGCTTCAGTTTTCTCATCTGTAAAGTGGGGATGCTAAAACCGACTCGAAGAGCTGTGGTGAGGACTAAGTAGGATGATGCATGGGAAAGAACCTTGTAAACTGCAAAGCTCTGAGACAGGGACATAGAAAGGAAATCTTTCAAAATAAAGGGGGAATTTCTCTTTCTTAGAAAAGTAATACTATTAAAAATGTTGAAGGAAGCATATATATGTATATTGTAAAAATTCTTTCTTTAGTAGAATAACCTTTACAGCAAAGTGAAAAAATACTGTTATATATACCTGCTATGCATTTATGTAAAGACAAAGTTCTGAATGGATCCGTATCAGACTCACCAGTGGTTTCCCCTGAGGAGTGGTGTACTTTCATATTTCACTTTATATTCTCCTGTTTCTAAAATTTTTTCAATGGGTATGTAGTATTTTTTGCCAGTTAACTTTTAAAACTTTGTTCTAAGAATCATCTCGTGCTTGGCGCTATAGGAGTGCACAGTAAAAGGGAGCAGGGTGTGGAGATAGTGGTTTGTAGATGCACGTATTTATCGCCTGCAAAGATCTTATTGTTCAGTTCTGTCATTCTCTTGAAAGAGACTGAGTCTGGAAAGCAGCCGGAGAAGGTCACTGCCAACAAGGAGCAGCATTCATCCGAGCAGCATCCCCTGAAAACACCTATAATCCAAGTCTGGTTTCAGACCTTCTTTTTACTTTCAGGCAGCTACCTAGAGACACCTGCAGCCCAACGCCATTGCTGAAGATGGAGCAGTGGGTGTTGCAGCTGTGTCGGGAGAATAAACACTCTAGAAGAATGAAAGTACCGTGTGCACTTAGCACTCCTTCAGCCCAGCCCCATCCTCGTGTGCACAGCCGCCAGCTGTCAGCAGGGGGAGTGTTGAGATGGCTGCAGCCTTTCAGTGACTACTTGTTTGATATTCTCCCACAGGTTCCGTCCTGAGGGCCCAGTTCCATTGTGAACACTCTGAGTGTTTTACCCCTTCGTAGGAATGAGGAAGAAAAGGGAGAAAAGTGCTGTAGGGATTGGAATTGTACTCATCCCAACAAAGGGAGGGGTCGCATGAATTGCATCCTGTAACCTCTGGGGGAAGGAGGCCTGATGGTGTTAGTTTCCAGCCACGCTCTGTTTGGCGCACAGGCAGTGGGGTGCTGATAAAGACAGGAGGGCGCACAGGTGGCTGGCACCCTAACCGCGTGTCAGCCCTGCCATGTGGCTGCCTCTCATTCTCTGAAGTTTAAGAAAGCTCCATCAAGATTTTGTTTAGTTTCTGTGGTGGACTCAGATAATTTGTGTTTTCGTGGAACTCG